GAATTGCCTTAACCTTAGCCTCATCAACTTTAACACCATCCTTGCTAACGACAAAACTAGGAAAGATAACTTCTCGTACACAAAAAGGACACTTAGCAAATTTAGCATAAAGTTTATTTTCACGTAAAGCAGAGAGCACACACGAAAGATGTTTAGGATGCGAAACTTTATCTCTATTATACAATAAGATATCATCAAAGTAAACCACAATGAATTTACCTATATAAGGTCTAAACACATGGTTCATAAGATGCATAAAAGTAGAAGGAGCGTTAGTCAAACCAAAAGGCATAACCATCCACTCATATAAACTGAATTTAGTTTTAAAAACGGTTTTCCAGTCATCACCCTCTTTCATGCGAATTTGATGATAGCCACTAGCAAGATCTATCTTAGAAAATATGTAAGAATTACATAGATCTTCTAACATTTCATCTAGCCTAGGTATGGGATGTCTATATTTAATAGTAATCTTGTTAACAACACAACAATCCACACACATATGCCAAGTTCCATCTTTCTTAGGAACTAATATGACATGCACTGCGTAAGAACTTAAAGATTCACGAACCATACCTTTGTCAAGGAGTTTCTCGACTTGACGTAGCAGTTCTTTGGTCTCCCCTAGGTTCTCCTTGTATGTAGGAAGATTAGGAATCACCGATCCTGGGATAGAATCGATTTGATGCTCGATCTCTCTTAAAGGTGGAAGTCTCTTTGGCAATTGATCTGGAAAAACATTCTCATAATCCTGCAACACAGATTTAACAACACTAGAAAAATTTTCAATGGGGTTAGTGTTAGTTTAACATAAATCCTTTAAACCATTAAAACAAGTAGAGTGCGAGTATTTAGAGCCCTCCCAAGGTCTCCTATTGAAGCATAAAAGTTGCCTTTTCTCTCCCAGCTTTTGGCTTTTCTCTCAAACTCTTACTCACTTTTGATTCTCTCCCATTCCCAAAACTCTCTTTTTAACTCTTTTAGCTCACTTTTAAGTTCTCTCTCTCTCTCTTTCTCTCTCTCTCTATCTCTCTGCATTTTCTTCTGAGATTCCACGATATTCGTTGGAGATAATGGACAAAATATAATAAACAAACCATTATGCATAAGTGAATATTGATTTGTCTTCCCGTCTTTGTTAGCACATCGATCAAACTCCCATGGACATCCCAACAAAATATGACATGCTTGAATCGGAACCACATCACAAAGAACTTCATCCTAGAATGTTTTAAAACTTAAGAGTAAGCAAGTTTGCTACCTCACCTTAATTTCTCCACAATCATCTAACAATTCAAACTTGTAAGGTTGAGGATGCTTGAATGTAGGAAGGTTCAATTTCTTGACAAGCTCCATGTTTACACAATTTGTGCAACTTCCTCCATCCACAATCACAAGACACGTCTTATTATTAACCTTACACCTTGTATGGAAGATGTCGGTGCGTTCTTCTAGATCCTTGTCTTGAGCTGGCTGGATACTAAGAGCATGAGCTAGTACAATAGCTCGAGACACATCTTCTCCATAAACAACCTCGTCTTCACTTTCAGAATTTCCCTTATCATACATTTAACTAGTTGTAGCTTGGTCTTTTGTTGCCAAAGTCATGTTAGATTGATCGTCCACATTTTTTTCTTCCTCATTTTCATGGTACCAATCAACTCGAAGTACCATAACTTTCTTATTAGGACAATCAAATGCATAATGTTCTCTTCCTTTACAATTGAAGCATTGAACATCGGCAAATGAACCTGGTTTAACATTAGGTATTTTTTCTAATGACTTGGTAACCTCAGCTGCCTTCAGCGACGATTTAGAACTTGGAGTCATCGACTTCTTAGCAGTATTCCCCCACCGATTTGATCCAAAGGATGATGTACTAGTGGAAGATGTCCTTGCTCTGCTTGCGGCTAAAGATTCCTTCATTTGCCTCTCAATGGTATGGGCCTTATCCACCAAATCTTCTTAATCATGATAGGACTGCAACTCCACTCTATGTTGGATAGGAAGGTTCAACCATGTAGAAACCTTGTTATACTTTGTTCTTCATCTTCTTCCAATTGACATTTAAACTTCGAAGTATTCATCTCTTGGTAGTACTCCATAACCGAACTACTTCCTTGCTTAAGATCTCGCAATTCACCTCGAAGCTTTCTTTGAAAGGATGGTGGGACAAAAGCGCATTACACGTGAAAGCTCTCCCCAAGTGGTGATTGCAGGCTCATTGTCTCTCCTTCTTCGATGTTATACCTCATTCCACCAAGTAGAAGCATATCTATGAAATTCTGACACAGCTAAATTCTACTTCTTTCCCTCAAAATAATTGTTAAGATTGAAGATCCGGTTGATATGATCTTCCCAATCAATATATGCATCAGGATCTGGCTTGCCACGAAATTCTGGAATCTTCTGTTTGATAGAGTTCATGTTATCATCAAAGTTAGGCTGCCTTTGTCGATCATGTCTAAATTCTTCTTCATGCTCAACACCACCATCATCAAGTTGTTCCCTTGAAATTTCTTCTCCCTCTCCTTAGTCTTCATTACCACGTCCACAACCTAGGCCACAACCACCATTGCTAAGTCCTCCAATGATGTTCCTTCGAGCCACAAAATTAGGTCCTGGATTTACCAATGGATTCCTAACATGGACAAGTTGTTGTATTTAGCGAGTGGTTTCTTCTTGTTGTTCTCCTATTTGGCGAGCGGAATGTTGTTGTTGTTGTTTTTGTTGTTGTTGTTGTTGTTGAGTCATAGCGGACGTCGTAAGCGACAATTGATTTGTTATGGCCGCCATTTGGTCTTTAAAGTCCTTCACTGTATCATTCAACATTCCATGTTGTGTCGGAGGCACGGCTTTGTCTCCCATGATTCCTGAAACATAACACAACACACAGAAGAACAAGAGTGTATCGAAGAACTCACTACCTTGTTACCCCTCCCAACTATTCTAGTCACACCCCAAGATCTCTCAAGAAGGTTTAGAATTTAGTAAGGAATAGTAATTGCACTTCAAATCAAACTCAAATACCAATCTCCTTCTATCACGTCTTTCTTTTTATTTTTGCACGACTATTTCTTCTTTTTTTTTTATTCCAAAAACGTGGATTAGGGACTTCAAAACCCTAGATCCGAAAATTAAGGGCAAGCAATTTTTTTTTTTTGACAAACAATAATGGATCTAACTATAATAACTTTAATCAAATCAAACCAGAATACAATCGAAGCAAAATAGTGAGATCTATAACAAAAGACTCAAAAATTCAAAAGAACAAATAGAGATCTAACCAAAGATGAGTTTCAGTAGTTCAAAGAAATGCAAGTATTTAAGAGCCAAAAGCTCTGGTGCCAATTGATACGAATGTTGAGGCGAAGGTGGCAGATTTACCTAGACGCGGAAACTATTAATATCCCAAGACTAGAAAACTTGCAAATCTAAAAGTAAGAACTCTAAAACACACGAAAAAGAAATAAAAGGAGGCAAACCACAAAAATTTATACCAAAAAGGGATGTAAAGGTTTAGAAGATGTAGAAAGTGTTTAAGACTAGCAACCCAATCGATTACCTCTCTAACAACCCTATCTCTTTGATTTATGAATAGAACGGCTAACGAAAAGGCTCCAATGAACAACTAACAAAGCTCCACACATAGAGAAACACCTAATCTATGTGCATGCGTCAACAAAGCACAAGCTAGTGTGCAATGCACTAATCTTCGAAAAGAATAGAGAAAGAACTAAGAGTTTCCTCTCATCTAGTATTAAACTATCAAATTCATCAAAGCTACATCTGAAATGGCGGCCAAGCACCCCTATTTATAGTAGAGTGTGGCCGAAATTCTCCTATAAATGAGGAGAAGAATTTGATCTCTAACTATATTCTTACTTTAAAGAACTACAAATCAAATTAACCTCTAATCCGTAACTTGTGTCTATCTATTAAGGAAATATATCTAGACACCTTTATAAACTTAAACACACTAGTCTAATGAAAATAAAAATCCAAATACAAAGAGATATTCTCTCAAAAGAATTCTTATCATTATCTCGAAAAGAATCTTCCTAAGTTGTCAATTCTATCAATATCATCTTTGTAGAGTAATCATAGCCATCCAATCTTGATCTAATTTTCATCCTACGGTTGAGAGTAGACACCAAGGAATAGATTTCTTATTATGAATAAACTCTAAATTAGATAAAAGAGAATCATATCGAATCATATCCTTCCATGTGACAAGATTTAAATGATCTTATCTATAAAAGATAGGGAATCTTCTAAATCTTATACTTCCACAAGTGTGATAAGATTTAAACAGTTTTATCCCTAAAATATAGAGATTTTGACTCCTAAAAATAAGGAGATAAGACCGGCCCTCGTTGCTTAGCTTGTGGGCCAAATTTTCCCTCCTCAAATGGGCCTTGTAACTCATTAATAATCTTGGATTTGTAACTTCCAGACTTGACATTCTCTTGGGGCAAATTATTTGATATATGATTATTAAGTGTACTCTTCATCTTTTTACTCCTAGCTCGAGTCATTGGGCTTCCAATGTTGGATAATGGATCTTGAACTACATCTTGAGCTTGGACTTTACTTGGAACCCAAACACCTTGATCATCTTTGACTTGATCACCTTGGATGTTCACATCATTATTCATCCACAATATTTTCATTATTCATCGATAAGCATACCATTATTCATCCAAACAAATATCATTATCCATTAAAATATTCAAAATTTGATACTTAATTTTTCAGATTCCACTGCTAATCCGTTCAAATTTTTTGCTCTAACTGATTCTCCAGATTCATAAGTCTCGATAATACCAAAATAAAATCCATCCTTATAAAAAAAATTCTCATAAAAGAAAAAAAATATAAAATCGAACCAGATAAGCCAAAAAAAATGCTTTGAAATTGAACATGTGCAAAAAAAAAATGATAAAATTCACTTGACTAATTAATCAAAATATGCGTGTAGGATGTGGTTGATTTATGGGGTAAAATACTCACTCTTTTTTTGGCATATTTGTATCACACGCACCTACTAGGACCACGTTGCAATGTGTTCCTAGGAACAACATATTATTTACCATATAGTCATATGTTTTTCAAGTAACCAGTATGTTTCCATCAGCATATATGTTTGTTCTATTGAATTTTAGTAATGTTTATAATAAGATTTTTTTTATATACTGGGGAAGCTTTCGCTTAGCTTACAAAAAGACTAGATATCTAGCCCACTCCGGGAAGGGGCGGAGGGTAGTCAAAAGATAGCTTGGCTAAAGCTATATCCGGGAGGGGGGGGAGGGGGGGAGCCGACAAAATATGTAACCCCGGTGCACTAGATAAACCTAGTTTTGCTAAAGAGTCGGCAACTTCGTTACCCTCCCTTCTGATATGTGAAATTTCTAGTTGCCAATGGCGATGAATGAGGGCTCTTATGCACAAGAGGACATTGCTAGAGGCGAATGATGCGTCCTCTTCCGTTAGAGCATTGACAACCGTGATATTGTCAAGCTGCAACTGGATCTTTCTAAAACCAAGCTGCCAGGCAATCTTTAATCCAAAAAAAAATGCCCCAGTACTCCGCTTCCAAGACAGAACAGAAGCCTAACTTCGCTGTGTACCCTGAGATCCATCGGCCTTCGTGGTTGCGGAGAAGACCACCTGTAGCTGCATCACTTGAAGCGATGGAAACTACACCGTCCGTGTTGAGCCTTATCCACTGCCATGGTGGGGGTTCCCAAATTGGAACTGCGGTCAGAGTGGAAGGGGTACTTGCTGGTGAATGAGTTCTGGGATGGAGCCGGCGAATTTCGTTCGCCGCTGCTTTAATTGAGAGAGCCAGGCTCCTGAAGTTGATGTATTCTCCAGAGAAAAAATCCTCGTTTCTTGTTGTCCATAGCTTCCAGCACCCTACCGCAAAAAGAGTAGACATGTTGTAGGAGTCATGTGAAGAAGAGGGAGAAGATGATAAGTTAGTTAAAATCCATTTGTTCCAATCTCTCTCATTCCAAAAACAAAATATTATCGATGATGCTCTTGCCCTTAATGAAGCTAGATTGGGTCAGCGAGACAAGGGACGGCATGATTCTCTTGAGTCGATTAGCCACCACCTTTGAGACGACCTTCGCTGAGACATTGAAAAGACTAATCGGTCTAAGATTTTGGAAAGACTCCGGCGGGTAGACTTTAGGGATAAGAACAATCATAGCCTGATTCATTGTCGGATTAAGTCCGCGGAATCGAAGGTTTCCTTCACCATTTTGAGGACGCTTTGGCTGATGATTTCCCAGTTGTTTTTGTAAAAACCTGCATTGAAGCCATCTGCTCCCCCTGCTTTCGATGAGTCCATATCAAAGACAGCATCTTTAACCTTGTTTTCTTGAACCGGCATATTCAAATGACCAAGCTGCCTCGGATTTAGGCTCGGAAATTTTCCTTTGACATGGTAGGGTGTATGTAAATCCGGTGCAGTAGTGGTATATAAATCTCTAAAGAAGATTGTAGCCTCGTGAATCAAGACTTTCGGGTCTGAGGTCCAGCAACCATTTTCAAGCTACATTTCCATTATTTTCGATTTGCTGGATTTGCCTTTATGAAGTCTATGGAAGATTCTTGAGTTTCTATCTCCATGCTCTGACCAGATTGATCTTCTCGTTTGTGACCTTAAGATTTCTTCTTGGGCCGATGTTTTTTTAAACTCCACTCTCAGTTCCTTTTCTAATTCCAGAAGGTTATTGGAGCTGTGGATAGTGAGAGCTTTCTGGATGCCGGATAAACTAGCAAGTGTCCTCCTTTTTTGCTTGTAAATATCACCGAAAATGTTATACTTCCAATCATCGATTTTCAGAATGAGATTTTGAAGTGCATCTTGGAGGGATAAACTCGAAATCCAGTTCGTTCCCAGCCATTCCTTCCACTGTTCATGAGACTCCCAAACAGATAAGTATCGAAAAAATCTGGGGCTGCTAACCGATGATCCGATTTTGTCGAATTGGACGAATAATGGGGAATGGTCAGACGCCACCTGTGGTAAAGTGCTTCACTGTTGTATTAGTGAAGAAATCCTCCCATTTGCTGTCGACTAGAGCCCTATCTAGTCTTTCAAAATAGCCACTTCCCTTTCAAGTGAACCTAGAGCCGGAAAAACCGAGATCACACATATTCGCCGTGTTAATGTAGTTAACAAAATGTTTGCAACCCGCTGATTTCCGACCGCCTACTTTGTCTTCTTGTTCTGTTATTGCGTTGAAGTCGCCTAACACCAACCACGGTTCAAAGGTCGAATCTGCAAGAGAGTCAAGACAATCCCACAGTGCATGCCTTGTTAGCCGTTGAGGGCTATCGTACACTGCGGTGAGATAGCAAACGGAATTGTCCTGAAAAAATACCTTACTATGAATAAATTGCCAGTTGTTCATCAGAATTTTGATTTCAATAGAATCATCCCAAAGGATCTAAATCCCACCCGAAAACCCCATAGATTCTACTCTATGAGACTTCCGAAAACCAATTTCAGCTATAATACGGCTAGCATCGTTCCCGCTAACTCTGGGTTCAACTAAAATAACGGTATGAACAGCATACAGTTTAATGAAGTCCTTAAGAACTGAGATGGTTTTTAAATTGGCGATTCCACGCGTGTTCCAAGCAATTATGCGTTTATTCATGATAATAATAAAGAGATAAGGGGGGAATTACCGACCGGAATTAGGCGGGAACTCCATTGTGACCGACGGTCTTGGATCCATTGACCTCTCAGTATTCAAGCCATCCTCTGGTTGATTTATTCTATCCTCGATTAGCATGTCGTCATCTTCTGGGATTGAATCATCAGGAGGATTTGGAGGCTGTATTTTAATTTTAGTTTGAGGAAAAAAGCTCTAGCAGGGTCAGGTGGTTTGCCGGTGTGTGGGAGTTTCTGATTCGGTTCCTGGAGTGTGGGGGATGCGTTCGAAGTGTTTGAAGAGTATTGTTGTGGGTTTGGGTGGGGGATGATGACCGCAGTGTGGTCTGGGGAGGTCGAGACGGGTTGGGGAGGGGATACAGTGGATGGGTTGGGCTGGGGAGGATCTGATGGGTTTTGAGAAGGTTGTTGGGTATTTGGTGAGACTCTAGAGGTTGTAGGGTTGTCATGAGAAGGGGGAAGGCCTGTTTGGGCTGGGATCGGCGTGGGTTGGGCTTGTGATGTGTTATTAGTGAAAGATTTTTTGGACCAGGCTCTGTCTCGGCCAATTGGGTCGGGTTTCCACTTGGATGATACGTTTGGTTCAGCAGGTTTAGTGGTCTTCGGGTCTGTGGGTTTGTGGGTCGGTTTATAATATAAGATATTAAAAGTGACAATGTGAAGTTTTAAGCTCTCTATTTCATGAAAATGATATACATATAGACTTTTATTAGTTTCTTGCAAAATCCTAAAACGCTTCAGTTTCAATCATTTATTTGTTCATGGTCAACACGTTTATGTATTTGACTAATACTTTCATAACCTAATTGCTCATTATTGATTTCGAAAAATACGTGACGCCAAATCAATGATTTATTTACTAAGTAGAATTTGGATGTAAGATATACAATCATGCGGGTCGCCAACCTTATTGTTGTTCGAGCTATTTGGAATAGGCACAAGGATGCAAAACTTATAATTTGCAATTTCCAAAAACCATTATTTTTTCCTGCAAATTAGGAAGTGAGCTGAAAAAGTGTTTGGAGATTATAAGGGCCAGTGATATTTGGAGGTCCAATCCACATTCCCAGTGCTAAAATCTGATTGGCTGCTTCAGTAGGATGAATAGAATCCCAAAACAAGAATTCTTGTGGATCACTGCATAGTTCATATTCTTTGGGATTTCTTTTCCCGCCACAACTGAATTCCCCTCTGAATGGACCAGACCCACAACATGCCATCTTCACTTCCTTGAAACCTAGTTTCTCAAAAAAACAAAAACAAAAAATATGATAAAATAAATAAATAAGGTACATTGGTTTTGAGTTCAAAACATGGGCAAAATAATGCTCTCACTGGCCCCCAAAACAAACTATATTGCAAATTGTGAATTATACTAAAATCCGTAACATTCACGAGTAATAGTATGGATTGTTTCTTAGAGAGAAAATATATCAATTGGAAGATAGAATAGTTAAAGACATCATGCAAATAAGTGGCTGTAAAAATAAAATAAAATTGCCTTGTAACAATAAAATAAAAAGTAATGATTGTTACAGGAAAAATTTGTAAGGAAAATATACAGGCAATGAATTATAACCGTTTATAATGAAACCTTATCTTTACGAATTTATCAATTCAGGGTTAGATGATAGTTAAGATTCAACCATATTATTGCCTATTAAAATTCCATTTAAATTTTGATTGCATGTATCACTATTAAAATAAAATAGTCTCCACTGTTTGATTATTTTCATTTAACAAAATAAACGACTTATCTATAATCTTGATAGTTACCTTTGTTGGACTATTTTTCAAATACAAGTTATTATTGTTATAGTTAAATGAAGCCACTTTAAATTCAGTATAAGCTAAGCAGTTTACTATTAATTTATTCTTAGTTCAGTTGGAAAAAAAATTGAAAAAAATTAGAATCAATAATATTAAGTTACCATATTTGGTTGGATTTGATTGAGCAGCCAAAGCAGCAGAGAAAGAATCAAAGAGTGAGTAACGAAAGCCTTGAAGCTGCGCTTGCAATTGCAAAAGTGACATGGCTAGGCCGTAATTGTGCAGCTCTACCACATCATTGGCCTGAGGGTCGCAGCTTCCATCTCCACCGCCGGTCACATTTTTTGCCCGGCTGACCGGCAAACACCCCAACGGTCCCAAATTTAGGATGCCGAATTTTCGTCCACCTTTGTCGTATATTTCCTGTTGACCATAAATTTTTAGATGGAAGTTAATTAGGTTAAAGACTAGAGATTAATAATAATGATTCAGGAGAGATTTTACAAATTTTAACATAGAACCGTGGAAATAAAATAAATTAGAGGATGCATGTGACTTGTGAGACATATACTTAGCATATTCCAATAATTAATTAGTCAGCAGTTATTACAATTCTTCTTGAAAAATACGATTGTTATGAGATTTTAGGTTAGCTATATTTGACGTTTTCTTGAACTATTTTCTCTCATTTGGTACTTACTCCATCCTACGAAAAGTTCTTTTTTCTTGAAATTATTGATTAGAGAAGCTGCTGTCTAGATTCACATTTATCTAGCTATGAACTTTGCTATAATGAAGGAAAATCATGGTTTATGTAAGGGTTACCCTTTTCTTTTCAATTCTAAAATGCTTACAACTCTTACAAATGAGAGTTGATATATCAAGACCCCATCATAACTAGAACCATGTTCCCTAAAATAAACTTCATAATAATTTTATCATACGATTCATTTAGCAACAAAGTTTTAACATATATAATCGACATCCATCATAATAATAATAATAATAATAATAATAATGATGGGAGATGCGAATAAGTTGGTTTAGTGGTAACACTATCTTTACTCCAAGAGGAGGTCGTGAGTTCAATCTCCAACTCTAACAAAATGTGAGGAGTTGGATCTCACCTTGCCTATTGGCACCTCTAGGCACTTGTTATGGCTAACCTACTAATGAACTCCCGATTTCGCACCCAAGCTTGTCACTCCGGGCATGCCTAGGGTGGTTTACCTCCCACTGTAAACTTGTCACCTCGGGCATGCCTAGGGTGGTTTACCTCTCACTGTAGTTTGCATAGGGTGGTTTACCTCCCACTGTAAACTTGTCACTCCGGGCATGCATAGAGTGGTTTACCTCCCACTGTAGTTTGCAGACTATTGCAGTAGACGTGGGTTGGGTTGGTGTACCCATCTCTGGTAGGGTTTCCGGCGTTATAAAAAAATAATAATAATGGGATTTACAGGCTATTGCAATGGGCGTGGGTTTACCCATCTCTGATAGGGTTCTCGGCGTTATTAAAGAAAATAATAATGGGAGATATCCTAAAAGAAAAAATTGAATGAACGATGAAAATGTTACAAGAGATCCACTTTAATTAATAATTAAATGATCAATTACCTGAATAACAGTAGTAATATTGCCAATAACCATTGAAATATATTCGTCCGGAGGAAATGATCCAAATGACGGTGAAGGACTAAAGTAGTCATTGCTTCCAATGCTAAGTAAATACACAGCATTTCCCAACACTTTGTTTGTTCCACTTTCACCTAGTTCTGCCTTCATTTGCTTCCTAACCTTTTTGAAATTCTTCAATTGCTTGTGAAGATGAATAACCTGCAAATATCACGTATTATTACTTTTGTTTGAGCATCATATTTACACTTGTTTACCTTTTTATTGATAAAATTCAAATATCACAAGACAAGTTAATTCATAGTACGAGGAATACATACCAACCCACAATTAGTTTCTGAAAGGGCACCTGCACCAGCAGATGCAAAGTTGAAGCCATAAGCCACTTGATGGCGGTGATGCTTAGGTTCCAAGAATGGCGGAATCAAAGGCAAATTAGCAAATTCAGCTGCAAAAAGAAATTCAATTACATGTCAACTAACAATCAGCTTAAAAATATACTTCATTCGTCCCAAAATAATTGTCCAATTTGAATTTTTCACTTTTAGGTTCAAATAATACTAAAAGTGCATATTCAAAGTGAACAATCATATTGGAATAGAGGAACTAATATATTTAAATGTGCTAACCATATACCAGCATCTTGAATGTATAATTTCTTTTTATTCATTTTTGGATTTACCAAAGGAAAATAAAAGAGAAGAAACAAAAACTTACCAATAAAATCAGGTATAATACGACCATTACAAAACCTTCCAGTTGGATGTTTGAAGGAAGTTTCACCATATGGAGAAAAATTGGCCTGAAAATATGTGGTTGTGTTAATGTAATTGTTGTTTCCTGGATCAAACAAAGAATCCCCAAACACGAAGAGGGTTGCATGATTTGTTGTCGTTTGTTGATGAAGACGGATAGAATCAGAAGGGATTGCAACACAAGAAATGATCACAAATATTACCGAACAACAAAGTTGTTTATGATTGCATGAATATTTGGCCATTATATTGATCATTAGTTAAGAGAGTGAATAATTCGAATGGCCACAATTCGATTTGTTGATGCACATAATCATCATTTATATAATGTTAAATCTTACTAAGGAAATACCAGTCAAATCATCATAGTCGTTTTCATAACATACACATCCTGAAGTGATTTTTACCAGGGTACGTACGTAACACATTTTTACAGTCTGGATGTCTTTAAATAATTATTTTCCGATCTACATGCTTCTGAGAACAAAGTTCGTAGCAATTCACATCAACAACTTTGAATATGGTTTTTGTATGTATCTTATTGGGCCGATCTGGACAGTTTGCATTGGTGATTTTGTGCTTGGTATTTTAGCTGGATTGAAGAGGTTTTTTCTGGAATATTCCATGAACAAAGTGAACAAACCTCGTACGTATCTCAAAATTCGAATGTACACGGTTCTATTTCGGATTAAACCACGCCAATCATTTACGTAAACAGTTTACATACAAATTGTAGAAGGAAGAAGTTTGAACAATTTAGTGTGAAAAAATAAGATGCATTTTGTGCTCGCAATTGTGTATGTATATATATACATCATTTTCCTCACTGATAAATTAACTAAGAAGAGTCTCAATTGATCTTTAAACTTCCATGTAAAAAATAAAATGTTATAAGAACATGTAAAACAATTGATCTTTAATACTCCCTCCGTCCCATAATTATTGTCCTGTTTAAGTTTTCATTTTTAGTTTAAATTGTACTAAAAATGAGATCTCAAACTGGACAATAATTTTGGGACATAGGAAGTACATTTTATAACTACGTATAACGATATCTGACGGCGGGCTTCTATAATTTCTTTAAATGGGAAAAAGAACATGTAAACTAGTATTTTTAAAAAAAATTAAAAGAATATATAAATAGACTCCACGTTGTACAAATTAAATTGTATTGTATACAGCAAGATGGTTAGCCAAAATTGAAAGAAAGAATTTAATTCTTTTTTATCATTAATACACTTTGTTGAATTCAAAGTGTTTATGAAAGTGGATTTATTCTTTCTTTTCTCGGAAGGGGATATGGATCACTACATTACAAAACTTGTACCAACAAAAAAAGTTATTAAAGGGAAAAAAAAAACAAGGAAAAAAGAAGAAAAAAGGTTGAATGGTATATTGGTATTCTCATTTTCATGTTGTCCTTCTAGATGATCCCGGGGGAGGATTCCACGAAAAGTTTACCATGAAATTTAGGCTCCGTTTGGTTGGAATGAATTGGAATTGAATTAGAATTACAATCCAAAAAATTGAAATTAAAATATTGGGATTGCAATTCAATCTCAATTTATTTGTTTGGGAGATCTTAATAATTGACTAGAATTAAGGTTCTAATACCAATTCTTGCGTTTGGATGCTTCAAAATTTGGATACTTTAGAATTGAAATTAATTTGTTACTAGATAATTAATACAATTTATACTTCATGTCAAATTTTTTTAAAAAAACTTAATTTCCTATGTCAAAATAATCTATCACGGATATGTATAAAACAAAAAAATCATTGTGTACATGTATATTAGATTACTTTGTTGTCCTTTAAACTAATCCTTTTTGAAAAAATAATTTTTTATTTAATTTGCTATATTATTTTGTGATTTATTATGTACACACTTTTTTGTAGGAAACAAAAGAAACATTATTGCGTAAGAATTATTACTATGATATGTAAACATCTTTGAGTCCCTCTCTTTTATTACTTTTCAAAATTTTTTAATTTTTGGTTTATTGATTTTTTCCCCTATATTAGTAAAAAATATTGTATATAATATAAATTCATTTTATGAATATTAATTTCTATTATATATGTTGACATTATTTTTTGGAATTTGCTTAAAATTTTTTAGTTTTAGTATATAGTTATATATGAAAAAAACATATACTTAAAATTCAACTTACAGAATTTTTGATGAAAAAATGCCATGTATTATTTAATATATATATATATATATTAATATAGGTGTACATATGGAACAATTATAAAATATTTTTGAAAATTTTATGGTGTTTACTGTGTCAGTATATAATAAAAAATTCTAACCCAAAATTAAAATATTTATCTATTAATTTTTTTGGGACAATTATACTTTTGATTTTTTCTCAAAAAAATATAATTTTAATTTTAGATTGATTTCGTTGATGATGATAATAATAATAATAATAATAATAATAATAATAATAATAATAATAATAATAAGAAGAAGAAGAAAAAGAAGACAAAAAGCTGAAAAAAAGAAAAACAAAACGAAAAGAAAAAGGGCAAGGGCTGAAAGCCCAAAAAAAAAGAAAAGAAAAGGACTTAAGGGAAAAAAGGAAGAGATGACCCGTTTATGTTATAACCCGGAAATGACCCGGTTTAGACCCGCGAATTTTTTTTAATCCCTTGAATTTGAATTCCAATTATTTACCCCCACAAAAGAATTAAAATCAAAGAATTGAACTCAAAATAGTATTGCAATTCCAATTCTTCCACTTCAATTTTTGTTAACCAAACACAAGAATTAGAATTAAAAAGCTCCAATTCCAATTCTTGGTCTCAATTCAATGCAACCAAATGGAGCCTTATTGTTTTTACCATATCATGATATAAAGCCAAGTTTAAAAGATACTCACTTTGTTCAAAAATTATTATCCAGTTTGAGATTTTATTTTTAGTACAAATTAAAATAGAAATGAAAACCCAAAGTGGACTATAATTATGAGACGGAGGGATTACCTTCACAGAGAAAATCGTCTTTTGCTAAGTTTTTATTGGAATGCTATGTTTTTTATCGTTGAGGGTATCATACGGGTAGTACTTTCTTAATTTTAAAATAGTTGTGTAGTTTAAATAAGGGGTGAAAGATAAATAATTCATAAAGAGGGTAATACTTTTAATTAATTTGTGTTGAGGGCACAACAAACTCCAATATCAAGCATGACTTTAGTTATATTTTTCAAACAAATTTATTTTTTAACCTCCAATGAATTTGAAAGTTTGTTTTGTTCCATTTATTCTTTTTTTATGAGTATTATAATATTAAATATGTGACTATGAATATTACATGGACACTCACTGGTCAAAGTAAATATTTAAGATCTTTTTATTTATTATATTTTTGGAAAATTTTGGTGACATAAAATACAAAATAAATTAGTGAAATTACAAAATTTGTTGTAACGGTTCAATTAACCACGTGCTTTTGTAATTCTTTTTGGACAGTTTTAGTTAAAACTTAGTTCATATTAAAAAGATATTATTTTTTATTTATAAATATCAATATTATTTAAGAAAATAAATCTTCAAAATTGTGAACAATTAACCACCGTATTTTAAATAATTTAACTATTTCTTTTGTCCTATAATATTTTTTAGTTTTGTATATCAATATTATCAAATTTAAACTTTGCACATAGATATGAATTTGCTTATGAAAAATTGAAATGGGTAAACATTGGTTACATGAAGAGTTAAAGTCATGTTTGGAAGTGAACTTGTAATGCCCTTAATAAAAATTACTTAAAGATATCGCCCTCCTTATTAATTACATATCTTCCGCTGTCCCTTTTCAAAATTTTCCCTTAAATTAAAACTTTAATCACGGTAATAATTTTTGGGATAGGAGTACATACTATATTTCTATTATTTCCTGCAATAGTCATTATCAAAAATTTAAATACATCATAATAACAAAAAGGCGACTCAGGTTACAGAAGGGATAAAATTTTATATTTAATTTATTGTTGAAATTGGTTATTTGTCTGTTGCAACGTTGCTCTTTTTGTATGCAAATGATGATTAAAAAGAAAGGTGAATTAAAATTATACGAAAATAGGGTGAACTATAAAACGTTTATGAAAAATATGGTAATTACTATAAGCTACACCAATAAGAAATAATTATATTATGTTCAAACGGTCTTATTTTATTTCATTGAGATGGAAGGTATAATCAACACTAACAAAGAATTTTCTGTGATATCTTGGTGTTACATTTTTTTTTACCGTTATTTATTATAGTTTTAGCATATGTGTAATCACTTGCCAAATGAGATTTATTTATCGTTTGATTAGAATATTAACAATTAATAATTTTGCGACATGTTAGTTATTTACTCAATATTACAACGAGCAATAACACAAAAATGTTGTTCACACCGGACATTTTGTCCCGTTTTGTGCAACATTTATGCAATGTTTCCCTAGAATTTAACTCAGCGAAAAAATTTGTGGCTAATCGATAACGGAAGTTTGTATGAAATTGTAGTGAGACAAAACAAGATGTCAATTCTTTGTTGATTCTGAATTTTATGTGGTCTACATTTTCAAGGTGTAATTCATGTCAAATAAGTAAAGGGATTAAAGAACCTTGTTTTTCTGAATGTGTGCCAGCTTAATTACAATAATATTAAAAAACGGAAATTTGTTCTTATTACGGCATGAGGACAAATATTTGATACTATGTGAAAGCAACAATCTTGTTGGGAAAAAAAAAAAAACAAAGAAACGGAAAAAAAACAAAAAAACCAAATCAAATCACCTATTGTCACACTCACAAAACTGTGTAGAAGTGGGTGAGATAATGATTGGTATTTGTTTCAGATGCAAGGACATGGTTTTGATGGCTCTAACAAGAGAAAACAAGAAAGGGAAATGAGGGGAAGAAAAATAGAAATTCTTCTCTTAATTTTAAAACGGTACGACTTTTTCTTGTTATAAGGTAAAATAAAATGAACTTTAGTAACTTTGTTAAACATAGTAATGAACATATGCACATATGAAACCATTAAAACGTCGATTTAACGATGAGCCTGGATAAGGTGTTTTCAATTTTCTATTCAGCATTTTGTGTGTGTGTGTGTGTTTTACTCCCAAACTCATTCTTAATTATCCAGAATATTTTAACAAACGCTTTATAAATTAGAGCATCAGAAATGGAAATAGCAAACTGTCTTCAAGCTATCGATGTCAACTAATGATCTAATACTCATGTTAACAGAATATAAATCTGCTAGCAGCACTGATTTTAACAAACTAGGCTAAAATGCACACAAAATTTGGAGTGGAAGGAAATGAAATATAAAGATGAAAAATGTTGCACTTTCTGACTAAAAAAGAAAAGAAGTCCTTAATGAAAACCAAAATTTTACTTGAACATTTTCTTAAAAAACAAGAAGAATATCTTGTCCTACACAGAATGTATCATCATTACAGCAAAATAAATTTCAATTTAATCCTGCTTGTTACGAGCTTCTCTTGCTCGGTGTCTGAGCTCAGCCCTTTTCCATCTCACAATCAGGTAACATAATGAAAAAAGGGTGTTAATCTGCAAAAAACGGCGGGAAAATAATCAATGCAATGCTGCGTGTGTGTGTGTGTGTGAGAGAGAGAGAGAGAGAGATTGTATGCTCACCAATATAACAATGGCTATAACCAAAAGAGGCCCCGACCAAAGTACTGAGAGAAAGAGTCCATGGGGATCGAAGTAATTCTGGGTTGCAAAGCTTTTCCAGTTGTCAGCTAAGATAACGTTCAGCCTCTCAGCAAGATAGACTCCGACCACTGCACATGTAAAACTCCAATCTTAATGATAAACTCTCCAGCCAAAGGAGAACTACAAGCGGAAAAATCCTCTACCAACTGTTTTAACTTAAGGAAGAAACAAAGAAATTTTGAACTTAGTATATTCATTGCCACCAATACAGGTGGAATACGCTAGCAGGAACAGAAACTCTTTTAACAGCTTCCAAGTATATTGTATGTGTCAATTTGGTATATTAAATGACTGACCATTTTGCACAGGTTGAGATGTATCATACACAATTCAAAACCAAAGTCTTATAATGTAAGGAATCAAACCAACTTTATGCACTTGTAACCAAGTTGTAACAACTAATTTTAAACCGGCCATGTTTGGAAGGAATTTGCAGGATACATTAAGAGCCCAACTACAGCAGCTTAAAGGGTGAAGAATGCAAGAAAAGGTGTATGATTACGCTACAATTGTAGATCATTTACGGCAAACAAAACAGTTTTCCACACCACCATTGCTTTCATAACCAACCATCTGAAGATAATAAGCCCGGAAAGTTGCTTCATTAACATGACGTTTACATATTTCATAAGTTGTGAAGCACAAAAAAAAAAAACAAAAAAAAAAAGAAAAAAACGATATTGATATATTTTCCAGGAACTCTCAAATGAATACACAACCCTAACAGACACTAAAGTTTCCTCTTTTTCTTTAAAACCTTCAAAAGGAGAACTTTAACACTGTTGCACTTTATACCCACTCAATTAGAGAGCCAACACTCAGAAGCATACATGGTAAGCACATTGACTAACTTATGAGGCACAAAATAAAAGTAAGAATCATTTCATCATCAACCAGAAAGGAAATACAAACAAGGAGATCACTCCGAATTAAGATATACTTTTTAACATCTCAATTGGTCAAGAATTGTCCCCATTAAATGATGACAGCAACAACTACTACAAGTAACAAGGAACCCACAATACCAAAATTAAACTAATGAAAGCAGAAGTTTCCTGTTTGATATTACTGGTAGCAGATAGCAAATGACAAAACATGTACAAAAACTAAACGCCATCCAATGAAATCATCGATAGACACCTTCAACAAAATTTCATGCATGTGTTCCAGAAAGCCAGACCAGTATCCGGTACTAAACAGTTTTAACTTTAAATAGCTACTCAGAAATCGTAACGAGTACTAAGAAAACTTACACGCAAAAAGGAACAAGCACATCTGAAAGTTAATATTCTTCCTTGAAAATATCACCACTAGAAGCAAGAGAACATGAAATGTAAGGAGACCTACCAGCCAAGGTTCCTGCAAACAGATTTCAATTTCAAACAGTTCTTTTATTCAAGAAACAATCCAATCTCTGTTACGAAATTAAAATAAATAAATGAATTCTGGAAACTTTATATTAAATTTGAAAAGATACAATAAAACAAGAAACATAAATCTGAAACACTGGCTATGAATATTTACAGTAACCAACGTTTATTTGCTTTACAAACATCTAGGTTCAATATAACATATCTCCGATTCCTGCGACCATGACCCAACTTGCACCTAAATTTATATTCTTAGCTGCAACATAATAAAGTCATAATATCAAATTTCAGAAGGTACCAGAGGTACAAGAGACTGAAACAAGATTTATCTATTTCAAAACAGCCGAAATAATCATTGTCGAAAATACAATCTACTCACAATTATGCAATACATTTTTCCTGGTAACTTTTTTTGTGACACCGTGCAATATGATTGAGATTTGCAAGAAGCAACTGGACAATACAGATTGAGAAGCATAATTTAACTTCTTAAGAAGCTGAACTGCACAAAGCAAGACGTACAATCACAAAAGAACTGTACTGAACAAACAGAGAATTGACAGTTTCATGTTGCCCCGTTCAAATATTTCTAGATAGACTCATTGGCTACATATTTGAGCATCTAAGTACTGGAATAATTCTCCCTTGGGTGTTTAAAACAAGATAATAAATAGGGTTACAGAAAACAACATGCCCCTTAGTGAAATAATGGAACACTTCAGGCAGTGACATCCCTTAAATTAGCTTACTAACAGAAACAACATTGATGCAAGCAATCATTGGTAAAAGAATCAAGTTTTCCTCCAATATATGGGAAGAACAACCACACCATCATCACAATAGAAGTACATAAATGAACATCAGATGTAACATACATATCTTAAAGGGGATTAATAGACAGGGATTAGTAGACTATATATTACCTTCCAGTCAATTGCATGAAAGAATCCCATGAAGTTATTATAAGCAGGTGTAAAACCAGCTCGTAGCTCAGCACTGACTTTCTCTACCAGATCTGCCATTTGGTCGATGTGGGCATTCAATGCAGATGTTACCTCTTCCATTGTCCTATTCACGCAACTTTCAGAGACCTTGACTGCAGATGAAGCCCTTTACAGAAGGGCATTCAATCCAGATGTTAGCTCTACTGTCACCGATTCAATGCAGAGTTACAGGAACAGAACACAGAAAGGGTCACTTTTCGAAATCAACAATTGGAAAAGTAAAATCAAGATCCTGACAGAACATATTTTAGGAGAGGCAACACTATTCATGTGACGTCTCTAATCCACTCCGATTAGCTTAGCACTAATCAAGGAACCTTAGAAAGGCGTCTGCCCAACTCTTGTCAGGACTCACACGATAAAGAACTACTAACAAAAGAATTTAGTAATTAAATACAGGAGGTTAAAATATTTAAAGAAAGAGGCATGCCCTTGTAATGTATCAAGGATTTATACCACGGTTAGTAAGAGGCATCAATGCAATATGATGTGTCCACCTCACCAGAACCCTTAGTCATTTTCCTTTCCAAAAGAGTACATTACACGAGAAGACGAAGGTTCCAGCACCATTGACAGGGTATTAAAGGTGAAGAAAACGGAAATGAAATACATCAGAGCTCCCAAATAATAATGAAAATGAAGCTCTGTGTTCGAACATGTGATAATGTAAAGCCAAGAGCCAACCAAAATGATTGAAAGGTTGAAGTTCCTGGAAAATACATCAGTGATGTTTAAGGGCAGCACTAAAATGCTTAGCAGAATTGTGAGAGAAGGAGCAGAAGCTTTAGAGCAAAACGGCTCTTATTGCAGAATATCACAATGGTACTTTCTATTGCAAAATATAAATACATACAAGTACTACCAACAACTGTCAGACTTGCAGAACCCATCATCCTATATTCTCAAGCAACAATTTTTACAGACACACCTAAATAAAGTATAGTTCTTTTCAAAGTAAACTAATTAGCTAACTAGTATTTTGAATGATAAGGTTCCAATGTTACTGCTGCTACAGTTCTATAAGCTCAGACTGCTGTAATGATGTTAGACTAATCTATTTAACAACAAAATTAGGGAAACATAGACCTGCTCAATTAAATCCTAAACTTACCAAAGCTCTAAAAGTCTAGAACACCTAAAATGCATCAAAACAATTTTCAAAAGCTGGTTCTCCACCTTTCCCTAAATCAAGTCATCATTCAGAGGTTTGTTTAATTAATTTTCAGCTTAAGTTCGTATTTCAGATTAGAGCAGGTCATGTAACTTCATTCATTTTTCAAGTTAAGCTCTAAAAACCTTTAGTTTTACTCCTAGACCCTGCAAACCTACTTTTCCTCCGATTATGGAAGACGGTCAGGCTTCCCCATGCACCCAAGAAAGAAAATGGAAGCTCACCGTAACCATTCAAACCGACAAACACGAACCGAAATATTCTGCTTCTACACTCTGTGCAAAGAATCCCCCTTTTCACAAAGATTAATGAAGATAGAAGCAAAAGAAGAGCTTCTCTTCAAGATTCTTTTCGATACCATGTAATCTAAGAATTTCGAAATTAGATCACTAGAAGTAGATTAGCGCATTACCTCGGTGAATTTAAGCTTTAGGCTATGTTCCCTCTTCGAATCGAATCTAAAATTTCACAGCTCTAAGCTCAGGTTCTTTCCTCTCTAAGCAAACGATTGATTGATATCGTCCAATTTCCGACATATGTTTAGGAAAGACTCGATGAGAACATAAAAGAAACACTTACCCAACAAACAAATTCCGAGGCTTCAAATACTTAGGTTCCTTCTAATCAAGAAAATTAACGGGCACAAAGGGAAATGCAGCAATTCACATTTAAAAAGGAAGAGTGAAAATACCGATCGGAACCGAGGAAACCAGGAACGGCAGCCGAGATCAGAATCGCCGGAGAAGGGAGAGCCGGCGCCAACGATATAATACAGAAAGTAAGAGCGACCTGAGTGTTTCGAGTGGAGTCTAGGAGAAACTAGAAAGCACTTGGACTTCCAGTTGTTACGTTAACTAAAAGCGTCTTTTTCATTTGCTTTTATTCAATCATGCCTTTGAGTTTTCAGTTTTGTTTTTTTTTTTTTTTGCTCTCTTTTGCAATTTTATTTTCCTAATTATTTTCGATATTTTCGTCAACGTTGAAATCCTAAACATGGTGAATTACAACATTTTAGCTAGTATAAAAATTTTGTTTCTTTCTCTGTTTGATTTCTATAATAGACTCCAATCAGTTTCTTTTTCTGAATTGCTTCTTGCAATTTAGAAATTACTCACATGCAATTTATTTTTTACAATTTTGTCCCTAAATTATATTCTTTCTTCTTCCTTCTTCTCCTTCCCCATCTCTTCTTCTTCTTTCTCTTTTATTCTTTCTTTTTCTCCTTCCTCCTCTCTTCTTTTTCTTCAAATCTAGATCAACTAATAATCAGACACTAAAAAAATGGCAAAACGCGGCCATCAACAACGTGAAAGCTCACCATCGATGCCGGTAAATTTTTTTTCCAAATTCTATTTTAAAAAATAATTAAAAAAAAAAATTTGCTGCCCTGGCTGGCTGACCCGAACGGTAGCCAGCCCAGGAACCTTGGTCGGGTTTCTCACCGGCCAAGGGGTATGGATTAGCCAGGTCAGGGACCGGCCAATCCTTGAAGAGTGACCGGCCATCGAGTCGACCACTCTTCAAGGATTGGCCGGTTCCCGGGCTGGCCACCGTTCGGGTCTGCCAGCCAGGGCATTTTTTTAATTTTTTTTGTTGTAATTTTTTTAATAATTATTTTAGTTAAATTATTTATAATTAATGTAATTAGTTGTTGAATATTGTGTTATTAGTTGTAAGTAATTTAATTAGATTTCTATTAATTTATAATGAAAGAGAAAAATTTAATTAGTTTTGTAATTTATTTAATTATATATGTAATTAATTTAATTATATTTGAATCTATAGAATATAAATTTAACAACTAATATGTATAATTAATTTAATTGAATTAATTTTAATTTATATTTGAATCTTTAGGTTTAGGTATAATTTAATATGTATAATTAATTTAATTAAATTTATTTTAATTTATATTCCATTAGGTATAACTAATTTAATTAGATTTATATTAATTTATAATGAAAGGGAAATTTTAATTAGTTTTGTAATTTATTTAATTATATTTGTATTAATTTAATTATATTTGAATCTATGGAGCATAAATTTAACAACTAATATGTATAATTAATTTAAATGAATTAATTTTAATTTATATTTGAATCTTTAGGTTTAGGTATAATTTAATATGTATAATTAATTTAATTGAATTTATTTTAATTTATTTTATGAGGTATAATTAATTTAATTAGATTTGTATTAATTTATAATGAAAGGAAAAAATTTAATTAGTTTTGTAATTTATTTAATTATATTTGTAATTAATTTAATTATATTTGAATCTATGGAGTATAAATTTAACAACTAATATGTATAATTAATTTAATTGAATTAATTTTAATTTATATTAGAATCTTTAGGTTTAGGTATAATTTAATATGTATAATTAATTTAATTGAATTTATTTTAATTTATATTCTATGAGGTATAATTAATTTAATTAGATTTGTATTAATTTATAATGAAAGGGAAATTTTAATTAGTTTTGTAATTTATTTAATTATATTTGTAATTAATTTAATTATATTTTAATCTACGGAGTATAAATTTAACAACTAATATGTATAATTAATTTAATTGAATTAATTTTAATTTATATTTGAATCTTTAGGTTTAGGTATAATTTAATATGTATAATTAATTTAATTGAATTTATTTTAGTTTATATTCTATGAGGTATAATTAATTTAATTAGATTTGTATTAATTTATAATGAAAGGGAAAAATTTAATTAGTTTTGTAATTTATTTAATTATATTTTTAATTAATTTCATTATATTTGAATCTATGGAGTATAAATTTAACAACTAATATGTATAATTAATTTAATTGAATTAATTTTAATTTATATTCTATGAGGTATAATTAATTTAATTAGATTTGTATTAATTTATAATGAAAGGGAAATTTTAATTAGTTTTGTAATTTATTTAATTATATTTGTAATTAATTTAATTATATTTTAATCTATGGAGTATAAATTTAACAACTAATATGTATAATTAATTTAATTGAATTAATTTTAATTTATATTTGAATCTTTAGGTTTAGGTATAATTTAATATGTATAATTAATTTAATTGAATTTATTTTAATTTATATTCTATGAGTTATAATTAATTTAATTAGATTTGTATTAATTTATAATGAAAGGGAAAAATTTAATTAGTTTTGTAATTTATTTAATTATATTTGTAATTAATTTCATTATATTTGAACCTTTGGAGTATAAACTTAACAACTAATATGTATAATTAATTTAATTGAATTAATTTTAATTTATATTTGAATCTTTAGGTTTAGGTATAATTTAATATGTATAATTAATTTAATTGAATTTATTTTAATTTATATTTCATTAGGTATAATTAATTTAATTGAATCTATTTTAATTTCTATTTGAATAATTATTGTAATGGAATATTTATATATAATATTTAATGTAGGTTACAAGGATAAATTAATTAGGTATAATTTATTTAATTGAATTTATTTTAATTTCAAGTTTGATTATTGTAGTGGAGTAGTTATATATATATTCATTAATGTAAGTTCAAAGGAGAAAAAAGAAAAGGCCAGATGTACCTGATTCTTCATTGTTGCCTGAGTTGGGTACACGAGACATGTATGGTCAAGTCATTTCTGCCTCATATCGTCGTGGGGTTCCAACTGGGCATAAGTCAAACGGTGAGTCGCAGATGGGTCAGGCCGGTAATAGTTTGGGACTTGACGATGTATTTGATCATGCCAGTTTGGACTTACAGAATGTGAGTGACAATGATGATGTCCCGACTGAAGATATCGACTCGGAAGGGTTTAATGATTTCGTAGGTGACTCACCTCCACATTCACCACCACATTCACCTCCATATTCACCTCCACATTCACCTCCACATTCACCTCCAGCTAGACGAAGCAATGTTATTCGTCTTAGGGTTAGAGGACTTGGAGCTGCATCTGCATCAGTATCTGCATCTGAAACTGCACCTGCGTCTACATCATCATCAGTAGGTAAGAAATTAGTGTATGGGGTTTATATTTTACATTTTAGTAGTTCAGTTTTTTCAAATATTTTATCGGAAAAAAATTGAATGATTTGTTTACGTTAATTTTAGCAAGTAATGTCCAGCCTTGGGTTGTCTCAGGACCAGTTGTTGATGGCCCTCATGACGGTTCTGTTATTCCCAGTTTTCTTGGTCATGTGGCCCATCGATTGACGGATAAGTCGTACAAACCCTCCTTGGAGATGGATACAAGAGTCACATACTTCAAGTTGTTAAAAGAATGAAAGGGTTCTATGTCGACTGAGGCTCAGATCTTGTTGGCTAGTACAAGACTATCCCACATCGTGGACATCATGCACACTAACATTGATAAGGCATTGATTACAGCATTTTTAGAGAGGTGGCAGCCGGACGCCAATACGTTTCACATGTCTTTTGGGGAGATGACCATCACATTACACGACGTGCGACAGATATTGGGTATTCCCGTTGAAGGTAGATTGATTACAGCATAACCTGAGACTGCCGATTGTAAGACTTTGGTCATGAGGGCGCTGAGAATGACTAGCCAGACGTTACAAACTAGTAAAGTAATCCACGGTGGAGGGGTTCAGTCGGGCCTTGTTGTGAAGACAGGCCAAGCGGCAGGGCTTGCTTTAGATCAGGTGACCGCCTGGTTATAGGTCATGTTAGGGAACACGTTGTTTACCGACAGGAGTGGGACTCGGATTAGAGCGGCGATTCTCTCCGAGTTTATTGATGGCCTAGATTAGAGCGGCGATTCTCTCCGAGTTTATTGATGGCCTAGTCACCTGTGGCAATATTTCGTGGGGGTCTGCTACTCTAGCCTATCTCTACCGTCAGCTAGGCGTATCCACCAGATTGAAAAATGCCTCACTGTCTAGTTGCTACACACTACTTCAGACGTGGATATATCTGTACTGTCCATGTTTCAGACCACCTCAGGGCGGTCCGTTTGAGGCTCCTGACTGACCCCGAGCTGGATGGTGGAATGTCCCAAATCCTGATAACAGTCCAGATCGTCTGATGCACCTTCGCAGTCAGATCGACAAGCTGACACCCGATCAAGTACGTCACTTTTCCCACTTTTAATTAATAATAATTATGTAAACTAATGTTATTAACGTATCTTATATCTTTTGTGCAGGTTGAACGGTTGCCTTATGGCCCCGATCCTGTTTCCGATGATCCAAGGACCATATATAGTGGCTGGATACATTACCGAGATATTATTGAGCCATACTTGCCTAGTCGAGTATTGCGCCAGATTGGATATATCCAGCTCATCCCTCCACCCATTCCTCATCCCCTGAGTGCAAATCGTAGTGGTAATCACCACGCCTATAAGGTTTCATGGAGGCCCACTGAGGCGTTTGATGTTTGGATGCAATTCCCATTCAGTACGGGGCTGGATCTAGAGTATTTTGAGCGGAGTGATCATGATAAGACTGCATGTGCTCCTAATTACCTCCAGTGGTACTTGAAATATTCGCATCCTTTCTTGGTTTTAGATGCCACTACTATAGGTGGAGTTAGAACCACATCTCACGTAAATCCTTATTGCAATTCTCAATTCTTGAAATGTTTATACAATATATTATTAATTGTGTAATTTTTTTATTTTTTTTTTAATTTTTTGCAGTGGGTCAACCGATTGTCCGAAATTCATAGAAACGCACTTGAGACAATCCGCGAAATTGATGCAGATAGAGTAAAGGAGCATGAGGCATTGTTTGTCCAATTTCAGGATGATTTCCGATTGAGCCATAGAGATTGATGTGTATTTTATTAGGATGTGTTACTTCTTCCCCATTTCAGAATGTTATTTTATGTGTTACTTCTTAGATTTCCTTTCAATTTCAGAATGTTATGTTATGTGTTTTAATTTGCAATGGAACATATGAAATTTAAATAACTAGTTTCAACAATTTAAATGAATGTTATGCAACTACTAACTATTTAAAGGAGCATGAGACATTGCAATGGAACATCAAAAAATTCTTGTTGGTTGGAGTCATCTCAATAATTTGTACAGCGGCATATTATACCTGTTTGTTCTATATGTAGTATCCATGTCAATATACCACGGGTATGCTCGGATCAACTCTACATATACTGGATGTGCACAGAAAATATGACTCAACACACCTTTTCCATTAGCAGTAGTAATCACATACTTGTGTTGCTGAGTAATGTCAAAGAAGTGATCCACCAACGTTTTACCCCTCTTCTTTTCCACCTGCATCATACTCTTATAGTTGTATATCTGTTTGATCACAACGTGCTCGTCCGGGCATTTCTGCTGAATCACCCGCAGCATTGCAGAAGGTTTTATATTAATGGCAGTCAACTCATCAACAATCACCTTCGATTTATCACTAAGGCCACTCATCTGCATCTGTCCCTCCTCGAAGCTGCCAAATAGGTGGTTATGCGTACCATTATGACCGGGACATGAACGAATCCCAAAAGTAGATTCGCCTGGGCGAATTTGGGCTAGAAGTTGGAACGGGCATCCACAATACTGTACCTTTGTTTCTCGCACCCGATTCTCTGTATCTCTAGGGGGAACACCCTTTGGACATCGTAATAATTTCTTAGTCTCATCTGTCTTGGCGCCTTAACCACTGTGAAATTATGAGATATTGCAGTCTTTTTCGCCCATAGCACAGCGTCTTCAATAGTTGCGAATCTTATGTTAGTATCGAAATGATGACTGTAATCAACAACGTCACCACCATAATCCTGTAAATGAAATATATAAAATTTAAAAAAATACAATATACATAATAAAATAACTAATTCATTTACGTAAACAATAATTAATTATTAAAGCTAAATACCACATACAATTATAAATTTAATTAAATTAAACAAATATATACCACATACCTAATATAAATCAATTATTAAATTAAACAAATTATACCTAATAATTTAAATTAAACATGTTACTAAAACATAAAAAAAAAATTAAATGACATATAAAAAATAATAACACAACATTCAACAATTAATTACATTAATTATATAAATTTAACTAAAATAATCAAACAATAATACAATAACTAATTACATTAATTATAAATAAATTTAACTAAATTAATTATAACAACAAAATTACAACAAAAAAGTTAAACATTGGATGATTGGCTGGTCCCTGACCCGGCCAATCTTCTACCCTTGGCCGGTTTTCTCACCGGCCAAGGTACCCGGGTTGACCGCCGGTCGGGTCGGCTAGCTCGGGCAGAGAGTTTTTTTTTTTTTTTTTAACTACAATTGGGGGCAAAAAATTTTGCCAGTATCGATGGTGTTTCTTCCCGTTGTTGTGTGTCTTGTTCCGCCATTTTTTTAAACTTTGTTTTGTAGTAAACTAATGTTTTTAAAATTTGATAAAAAGGAAGAAGAAGATGACGTTGGAGAAGGAGAAAAATAGAAAGAAGAAGAAGAAATGAGGAAGGAGAAGAAGAAAGGACGAATAAAAAGGATTTAGGGGCAAAATCGTCAAAAATGAACTGCAGGTGAGTAATTTCTGAACTGCGAAAAGTAATGTCCTTTTTTTCTCATTTCTTTAAGAGTAATCTATTCAAATGGTCCTTTACATTTTGTAGAAAACTTAATTTGGTCTTTTACATTAAATACTCACTCATTTGGTCCGTTACATGTGTCTTTTCAACTAATTTGGTCCTTTTTATTTTTCTTGGCCCTTTACATTTTTTTTTTGTAAAAAAAATCCACCCCAGTGGACCTCACTTAAATGTGGGTAAAACCCTCCATTACAACCCCTGATGGGAATCGAACCCTGGTCTTAGGAAAGACAGCAACATAACCACTAGGCAGTCATTCAATTCCCAGCCTTTTACGTTTGTGGCTTCTCAGGCTGACCGATTCTTGGTCAAGTCAACAAGGCATTTTCGACAACTTATAAAAATCAGATTTTTAAAATATATTAAAACCAAAAATGTATTCAAAAGAAAAAATTCAAAATTCAAATATAATATTATTGAAAAATTTAAAAATTATAACACAAAAAATATCCATTTTTTCTTTTTTTTACCTGTAGGCCTAATCGAAATTTTTTATCCGAGAGTTTTTTTTTTATTATGTGGGGCCCACATCTATTTTTTTTACCCTTATCCAGTATTTTTTTTCGTGAGTTATTCTGGTACAACAAAAAAAAATAATGAATACAGATAAAGAAAAAAACGAGATGTGGGCCCCACATAATAAAAATAGAATAATACTAAACATATTATATTAATTGATAATTTAATATAATATTTTATAATTTATTATTAAAAAATTAAAATTAAAAATTTAAATATAATATTATTAACAATATTTAAAAATAAAAAAATAAAAATCCAAAATACAATTTACTTTCTTTTACCCGTGGGCACGAATAAAAATCTTTTACCCGTGAGTTACTCTGTTTTCATCATGTGGGGCTCACATCTATTTTTTTTTTCTTTACCCTTATTTAGTATTTTTTTCGTTATACCAGAATAACTCACGGAAAAAAATACTGGATAAGGGAAATAATTAGATGTCGGCCCCATATGATAAAAACGTAATAAGGTAAAAAATTTCTATAAGGCCCACAGGTAAAAAAAAAAATCCTATTTTGGATTTTTTATGCTTTAATTTTTAAATTTTTTAATAATATTATTTTTGAAATTTGAATTTTTTTAAAATTTTCATTTTTAATAATAAATTATAATTAATAAAATATTTTTAAGAGTTATCTGTTCAAATGGTCATTTACATTTGGCAGAAAATTTAATTTGGTCCTTTATATTAAAAACTCACTCATTTGATCCATTATATTTGTCTTTTCAACTAATTTGGTCCTTTTTATTTTTTTTTGGCGCTTTACATTTGAGGGTTCTTGGGCTGACCAATTCTTGGTCAAATCAACAAGGGCACTTTTGGTAACTTATAAATATCAAATTTTTAAAATATGTTAAAAACCAAAAATGTATTAAATAATATTAAACATATTATATTAATTTATAATTTATTATTAAAAAAGAAAAAAAAATCAAAATTCAAAAATTCAAATATAATATTATTAAAAAAAATTTAAAAATAAAAAATCAAAATCTGATTTATTTTACCCATGGGACCTAATCAAAAAATTATTTTTTTCAATTTTTATCCACCATCACCGGACGGCCTCCGCCGCCGGACTGCCTACCGCCGCCGCCAGACCGGCCAGTCGGCCAGATTCTGGCGAAAAAAAAAAACTGAATAATTCATGGGCTCCCATCTAATTTTTTTTCTTTACCCTTATACATTATTTTTTTTTCGTTACACCAAAATAACTCACGAAAAAAAATGAATAAGGGTAAAGAATTTTGGAAATTTTTAAATTTTTTCTTATTTAATAATAAATTATAAATAAATATAATATGTTTAGTATTATAAATAATTTTTTCTTAATCTTTATCCATCACCACCGGACCACCTCCACCGTCGCCGCTGCCGTCGAACCGCCGCAATCGATTTGGGGCCACGGGTAAAAAAAAAAAATAATTAGATTTTGATTTTTTTTATTTTTAAATTTTTAATTTTTTAATAATAGTATATTTGAATTTTTAATTTTTAATTTTTTTAATAATAAATTATAAATTAATATAATATGTCTAGTATTATTTTAATGCATTTTTTATTTTTAACATATTTTGAAAATATGATATTTATAAGTTATCAAAAATGCTCCTGTTGATTTGACAAAGAATTGGTTAGTCCAAGAAACCCTCATATGTAAAGGGCCAAAAAAAATAAAAAGGACCAAATTAGTTAAAAAGACAAATGTATTAGACCAAATGAGAGAATTTTTAATGTAAAGGACTAAATTTAGTTTTTTGCCGAATGTAAAGAATTATTTGAGTAGATTACTCTTTCTTTAATCCAAAACCTTGAACGATCTGACAATTTATAAAACCAAATATGTACCCAGCTTTCAACAAAATATAGTGTCAAAATCAACTTTTGATCACTTAATTATACTTCATTAGTCACCAAAAATATTCGAAACCCAAATTTAGTCCCTTATGTCTTGATTTTTAGTCCCCTGTTCCGTCGGTTAAGTAAAATTTACAAATATACAAAACTTCTCATCCTTTCAGTTTTGAACCCTTCACAAATCACACTCTAATTTTTGTTTTTTAATATGTATTCTGTGGTTTGTTATTTTATTAGAATTCACCATAACATGACTTAAAAAAAAAAAATCCAATTTTGGTAATGCTTTTTTTTAACAAACCTGGATCTACATGAATTTATACTGTGTTTATTGAAATTGAATTTAATCGTTTAGATTATTAGACCTTAGTGTAATTAAATTAAACTTATATCATGTCGTTAGAATACTATATGCTAACTTAATTAAGATGTTATTCATGTATTTATTCTTTTCTTTTTGAAAATCTCTAGTTGGAAGTGAATAGAATAAGACACAGCAACTAAAAAATCAAAATGGGGCAAAAATGACAGTTTTTCTTACTTTTAATTATAACCCAATATTTCACTTAACTTTGTTTTATTACCTGCAATTTTTATTTTTTTTTTGAAACCCTGCAATTTTGGTGAGTATTAGTCTCAAGCAAATAACTGAAAACGAGGAATTTGCCCCACATTTAAGATCGAAAAATATATTTTCATGCCTTGACTTTTACCCAACCAAACAGAAAACCTCATATTTCAACTCCAAATCCTTGCTACCAAAATTGAACACTCTATTGAAAGATTTAGTCTCTCATCGGTGTAGACTCTAACTCATATATACAGAGAACTAAACATACACAATGTTTAAAGTAGTGAGAACCCAACTAATTAATCAAGACTCTGGAGATTTAGCACAAAAAGAAAAGTGGATTAAATGGAGAAAGTGAAGAAAGTGAAGTTGAGTGTGATGATCTTGTTTCCAACAAAAAAAAGAAAAAAGAATTCGATGATCATGGTGAACACGTAGGTTGTTTCAATTAAATCTTCCTAAATCTATGCAAAATAAATGGATATTGCCAAAGATACTATCAATTTCCTTCACTTCTTACTCTTTCAAGTTGAATGTATAATTTTTCCTCTTAGATCAGTATTATATTAGGGGACACTAGTCCTCAAGGCAAATTGTAGTAAAGTGTAACAAACAATTGTTGGCAAAATGCATAATACTACCAGCAACACCATCTTTCTTTAATTTCTGTTCAATCAGTGGCCAATCCAACTACTTCAACTTTATGAAAAACTTGAAAAAAAAAAAAACATGAATTAAATCATACTAGTGTATGTCGTAGATTAGTATATTCCGAGGAAATGCTTTGTTTACAGCGAAGTATCTCCATAACACTTGTTTTCTCTAGATCTGTCGATCGCCATTCTTCCGCTCGAGTGACATGATTGTTGGAGTTCTATGATTTCGAGGAAATTCTAGAAACTTATAGATAAACCAACTTTGAATTAGGTTTTCCACACTCAATGTGTGTTTTGCGTGCACATAGGTTTTCCATTCTCATTAATTTTAATAAATTTCATTTTTTTAAAAAAAATGTTTGTCATTTTTACTTATATACCAGAAAAATATTGTATACTTGTCTTCTTCGAAGAAAATGCAAAGTACAATGCAAACAAACTTAGAAACAAAAGAGAGGCCATACATTATATTTTTTTTAATCAAGACTACATGTAAACACTAGATATATGGCATTATATTTGAAGATGATGGAACACGTACATAAGCTAGCATATGTAATGAGAGAAATAAGTACTTACATAATCACAATATGGCTTCGGAACAAGTTCTTAATAATCACATCACGTATTTTTTGTTGGACATATTTAAGAAGAAGAAAGTAAAAGAAATCAGTTGATTTTACGACAATTGGCCCTTACTTCCCCTTTGGACCCTTCTTTGACATCAAGCAAACTCATCTTGAGCATGGCTTGTTGGAAATCCATGAAGAACATGGCTTGATTAAGGGCATAGCCATTGACAATAGGCTTAGTTTTGGGACTCATGAATAGGGTTTGGTCAGAAAAGAGAACCCCGGATTTGAGTTGCAATTGGTTGAAATAGTCATTGTCGAAAGTGTTACGAGTGGAATCAAAGTTTTGCTCTGCATTGTCACCCCCACTACATGTCTTTGATAATGTTTTCAAGAATTGTGCGTCTATGGTTGGATCCACATCGTGGGTTGAGTCAAAATTACTCAATCTTTGTTTGAATGATGAACATCTTGCCACTCCTAGTGTGTGTGCCCCTACACCAAATGAATAAAAGATGTCAGTAAAGAAAACAAAATCTACTCGTTCTGTTTCGTGATCATATTTTCAGTTCAACGAATTAAATTATTGTTATAGAATGGTTTTAAGTATTTGTTTTCATTAAGAGTTAATTTCACAAGCAATGGCGATTTGAATTCTATAAACATGTCTGTCTGATAATAAGACGTAAAATTTATATTTGTTAATGTTTGTATGCTTTTCATGTAACAATTTTTTTTTTTTTTTGAATTTTCATTTTCATGTATTAACCTATATAGTGTCAAATATCTTTTGTTAATAAACCTAACGAATTTAGCTCCTTTGAAAGTTATCTTTCAAACACACTATATGGTTTTGTGTCTGCGTTATCTTAAAATGTTACATTTTTACATTATAAGACCAATAGAGTCTTTAATTTGTATTTTGTAAAGATGGGTTTAAAAAAGACCAATCTAGTGAGATTCGTGAAATGATATTAGGTTAATTACCTGATAAAGCAACCATTTCTTGTGCAGTAAACCCATGCTGACCAAACATTTTGATGAGCTCTGAGGAATTCAAGGAGGGTGCGGGCAGATTAATAGTGTCCATTATTTTTGATATTCTCCCATCTTTTCTTCCCTTTGGTATGTCATAATAGGGACCTCCAGCCTGTGTACCATTGGAAATATATGTGTGATCATATTTGAAAAAATCAATTTATGTTCATCACTATCCGACCTAATTCGTCCAAAGGAAAGTCACGTTTGTTTTAATGATTATTATAATGATTATAACTCTTCTTTTTTTTTTCCGGACAGATGGTTTACTTTTTTTGGTTTAATATTTGCTACAAACAAATATTATTACAATGCAAATATAGTGTCTTAGATTAGACAAAAGCTTTTACCAATTGATTTTACTCAAGTTTCTAGAAGTGGTTCAATAATTCACTCTTTTTTTTTTTTAAGATGTGGATTTGTTGTGATTATTAGCAAACTTCAATGGAGTTCATAATCCAAGAAAGTTTGTAGTCTTTCCATGTCAAGATAAAAACCCTGCTACTTTTTAAACTATTTTACAACAGTAAACAAGACTTTATGTTAAACTTACAAAGAAAACAGCAGCAGTAGAAGCCATAGCAACAATATCAGCACAAGAAACAACTCCAGGACACAACTGCTCAAGTTGTTCTTTTGCATCATCTATCACCTCATAACCCCTTAAGCTCAAATTCGCCGGGGAATCCTTTTCAGCAACATTATCTTTTGTAGAATCGATCAAAATTGAAGCATCACATCCCTGCATATATATACAACAGGTACATTAATAATTAATAATATGTAAAACCAAGGGAAAAAAAATTTTATTTAGACGTAAATTAACAAACTAAGTTGCAATTATCATTAAACACGTTCTGTATAGGTTTGACATTGCCATATGTAAATGGAATACATACATGATGGATACATATATTAAAATTACCGATCGACATAATATCTATAACAGTTTATCGAAAAACTATAAAATTAATGATAAAAGAGAGGGATGGGGAGATGGAACAAATTAACCTGGATGAAGCAGTCATGAAAATGCATCCTAATAAGGGCAGCTGCAAGAGTAGGATCAGATCTCAAAGCCTTATTGACAGTGTCTCTTACAATCCCTTCAGCTGGTGGACAAGAAAATGAGTAGTATTGCATGCTCAAACCATCAGCTCCGAACCCAAACCTCCACCCACTTACCATAATATCCATCAGCATTATTACAAGAAATAGATTCCATGTGGCCATATTATGTCTTGGTTTTGGGCAAAAACTTTTCAGCATAATGAGGGCCAAATATATGTGGTGTAAGTCACTAAATGTGTTGAGACTGCTGTGTGTAGAAACATTGACTGACTTATCAGAAATGCAAAATGATATGTATTTATAGATGCATTTTGATGAAAACAAATTCATGTACCCAATCTGTTCTAATAAAAATGATTATCTGGTTTAAAATTTTCATTTTGATTTACAATTTGTAGTACAAATTTAACTTGGATAATTATTTTGGGACCGAAATGAAAGTATAAAAATTTCTTTAAAAGAAAAAGACTTTTGTTAATGTTAGTGGTTTAAAGTTTCTTCCACCTAATCAGAAAAGGCCAGAGGATACACAGTAAACGTAATTAGTTTATTGCATGGTGATTTATGCTTAGGTCGACACCTCACGAATTAATTGTTTTTTGAGTGATAATGCAATTATAGTTTAACCTAAGTTAGTGGGGACCCCGGGGGAAAAAAAAAAGAAAAAGAAGAAAAGGGAGAAGTGCAACTTTCAAGTGCATGTCAATCAAAAACTACGAAGATGGTTAATTGTGAGGTTTTACACTTTGTTGCATACACATCACTACTCTTAGATGTTTTATTCTCCTCTTACTTACATTATATTGAAAAGGTTTTTGAAAACCAGGAGGGGTTTATATATATATATATATATATATATATATATATTATTTTTTTTTCTCTTTTTGGGAAGTTAATTGAGTTACACACCCATGTTCTTGGAGGGAAGGACATTCATTTAAGTGCAGAGTGTTGGCGGGAAGGACGGTTTAAATACCGGAGGATATGATCCAGATTCCGGATGGCTCTTTTATTAAGAGGTGGAGGTAAATCGCTCTAACCTAAGTGGCAAATTTGGTTGTGAAAATCTTGGTTCATGGATAAATTTTGTGATAACACGACATAATAGAGTTGCCTGTGTGTTGAAAGAGCTAACACCTCCTCTTTATGATGGAATATTGAATTGAACTCCAGACCCCATTTAGAGAACTGGTTTTTCATAGTTAATACCTCTTTAACATTTTGTACTAAAATAATTCTGGACAATATTAAATTTCAAAATCCAAAATAAACAATCAGTTCTGGAGGATACTAAAATTTAAAATACAAACGGGGTAATCTTTTTGGTGATTCTCATATCTACATCTGCTATATATTGACCAAATGAAGTTTGGATTACCTTTCATAAGTTACTAGTTGTTTCAATCAAGGACAATTATAGGGTAAAAGGTTAAGCAGGGGGTTTTTTATAGTTAGTGTTTTGACTCATGCATGCATGGTGTACCTAAATTGATTCTCTCCAGTCTAATAACTTTGGATAAATTTAAGAAGATCTATCCGATAGAAAGGGGAACATAAAAAATTGGAGATAAAGTTTAGGAAATTCAAAAGTCAAATCTACTACTATAGCTTGTGGTCATGACGACATTGCTTGATAGTGTATTATTAAATTTTTTTGTCACGCAGTCGACAAAAGAAATTTTCTCCATTTGTGTTTTGATGTTCCTTTCGTTTCGTCCATGTGCCTTAGTCCACAAGGCCGGTGCATGCATGTTTCTTTTTATCACTCGCCACTAGTTTATTTGTTACTTTATTTTCCAGTACACAAGAAAAGAAGGATATCACCTCAGTATTCCAGTGTACATAACCTATAATTACTTACATTATGTTATCGTCAATAACATATTATGTTAGTGGAAGGAACTCTTAATTTCTCTATCTTTTTCATAGAAATTGATTTTTAATCTCTCAAATTAATTATGCATCTATCAAAAAATTTACAAGGGCAGTTGTCTTCATTTGGACGAAGAAGTTTTCATTTTTAAAGATGCATTTCTATACGGATGCTTGCACCACGATATGGTAGTGTGTTTTTCCCTTGAAATATTTATTACACGTCTCATTTTGTTAATCAAACAAAACACAGAATGTCTTTCCACTGCTAAACCATTAATGTATTAATCCTCCTCCACAATATGACTCTAGTGATCCATCCTCCACAATACGATTGACTTTATTATTAATTTAAGATTGTCAACGCAATTACGTGTGGTTCGTGGATTTTAGTGAATTAATGAGGACTGCACAAACCTCCAGACCAATTAGATTTTATTTAATTAAGTTGCATGGATGGATCAATTAAGTACTATGTTTTTCTCAATTTCTAGAATTTTAATTTGTTAACCTGTTTCATCTAGTGCATTCCATCACATAAATTATATTCTAACAAATTAACTTTTTGGTTGATTTTCATCAGCGAAACTAAAATTTTTCACCTGATCGATCACAGCTTTTATCCTTTTAAGTTTATACCATACCTAATCATGTTATCAATACTTTTAAAATACAAATAAATGAGTAATGCGAAAAATGATTCAAGGCTATTAATTTACAAAATAACAAACCTACATAACAAATATAAACGCATTGCATTAATTTGAGGCTTTGATACCAGTAAGGTAAGTAAAAGCTAACACAACTCAAAGGAAAAAAATTGAAATAAATAATAAATGAAAACAAACACAATCTATAAGAAGGACATGATTAATTTGAATGTCGAACGATCTATTAATTTACAAAATAACAAACCTACATAACAAAAGAAAAGTTAATATCTCATTTTATCTCTATATTAATCCCTTTTACCCTATTAAAGCAGAATACAGAATGTTGATGTGCCAACTTCTTATTAAAACTTTTTGGCTCCAAATGCACCATATTACATTGATCATTCTGCCACGTGTCATCCCCTTTTTAAAAGAAAAAAAAAATCTTATCCCGAGAAATAAAGCTACTTTACAAAAATAACTACACAATTTTAAGTCCTAACATTTATCATTTATCAATCAAATTAAAATAGCATTTAAATTTGTCTATAAACTTATCCCCTTTATTACTCCACATTGATTTGTATGATTTCTACATCGTTGTACTTTTTAATATTTTTGCTTTGACAGATGATTTTTTATTTTTATTTTTATTTTTGACTAAAAAAAGAAAAAAAAAAACCAAATGTGTAGTTATTTTATTTTTTCCAAATCAAGAATTTATTTATCTATTAACACAAATTTAAAGTAGAGGGGCGCCCGGACATCTGCCTGGGCCAAGCATCTAGTTTATAGTTATGATGAATAATTTCTTATAAAGGAAATCATATAATTACTCTGAATAAATAATTTCCAGGAAATCTTTTCCAATCCAAAAATAGTCAAAGCGAGCCGAAGGCTAAACGTGATATGTACTCGATTAGAACACTTTATAATTCTCTTTACCGAAACAATACTAGTATAATTTTAATGGGTTGCTACGCTTTCGATGTGGAATTCATGTTAGTGGAAAATGTGATAAAAGCATAAATAGAGATCTAGCTGGTGGCCATTTACACAGAAAGTGCAATAGAATGACCATTTGAGACCACCCCAAGTTCCTCGGTTGTCATCTTCCATGTGAATCGAAGTGGTGGAAACTCGTTTTTGTGTTTATGTTTGAAGCGTGGATTGGTTCACGCCTGCATTAATTTGAGTGGGAGTTGCTTACTATATACTGGCATTTTAAATATATAACATATATAAAAGAGACTTGAAAATGAAATTGAGATTATATAAGCATATTTCTCTCTAGTTCGTCTCAAAACGTTTGTTTTGTTTATTATATTAAAACATGTACACTTATTTTAGAACAGAGAAAATAGTATTTCATCTGTTCTAAAATTATTGTCTACTTTAAATTTATAGTTCTAACATAAATTAAAATAAAGATAGAAATCTAAATTTGACAATAATTTTAGAACAATAAATTGAGTATTTCTTTTTAGATATGCACTCTGAAGTTTATCCAATTATTTGAGTACATTTTTGTTGATTAGATATGAATGGTCGTAGTCTAGCTACTAGTAAAACTTTTAGTGAATTTCTGAGATCCTAGATTGATTACCGTCACAAAAAATTCAACCGGCGAATTCACAAATTTATTTTTTTGTCGTGTAGCTTGCATCTTAACTAAGACGATAGTACAATGTAACGGATACAGGAATAACATCACAAAGCCCGGGGCCGGGGAAAATAAAAAAGAAAAACAGAAGCTGAAGCTTTTATGTATCACGAATAAAGTATTCCCTTTGTCCTAAAATTATTGTCCAGTTTGATACTTTATTTTTAGTACAATTTGAACTAAAAATGAAAACTCAAATTGAACAATAATTATGGGATGGAGGGAGTAGCATTTTTTGGGTGCTTTTTCTCGGGACACATTTTTCCTCAATCAGTTACTGAAGTTAATTAAAGAACAAGGCATCACTTTTTGTTTTGATACCTTTAACAAAATGTAATGAAAAATGCAACCTGGTTAATCAATCAATTAAAAGAAAGCAAAAAATTATCAGACATATATAATATCTCAGTAAAAAAACAAAAACAAAAAAAAATGTTGGCCTTTCTTTGGTTATTCCTCCTGGCTCATGAAAGAATTAATGCAGCGGCCGAGGCACAAAAATTCAGCGCAATGTTTGCATTTGGTGATTCATTAATAGATCATGGGAACAACAATTATCTTCAATACTCATTAGCAAAGGCGAACTATGTGCCTTATGGTGTTGATTTTGATCAAGGAGTTCCTACTGGGAGATTTTGCAATGGAAGAACCATCATCGACTTCTTGGGTAAGTAAATTTATTACATGTTTTAGTTCATTTTTCTTTCCTAGCTCCTTAATTATAATTTGTCATACACCACCGAATCTGGCTCACTCCGTAATTTTTTTGTATATGTGAAACTATATAAACATTAGAAACAAGACTATATCTTATTATAGATAGATGGAAAGGACGTGATGGCTGATGAATTCTCATAGTAAAGCAGAATTAAATTAGAGAACCCATTTTGCTTAAATTTTTTACTTTGTTTTCTTATTTTCTTGCTAATTGCGATCAACTTGTCCGTATGTAAGACCGATTAGTTTTTTTGTGATATGGGTGTGGTTTTGTCATTGGAAAATGAGCGTTGGAAAATGAGCGTTCATGAATGACAAAAGTCATTCATAAAGTTTCGAACCTGGTAACTTCGAGTTGAACATATAAGAGAGTATCATTAACCATTTAAGTCGGAATGATACATCCATCTTTGTTTCGTTTATAAGGAAGCGTTCATGAATGGCAAAAGTCATTTTCTTTCGTTGAGTTTAAATTCATTTTTTTTTTTTTTCCATAGAGACTTGTGATGTAACTAAAATACACATATATTCCCTTCGTTTCGAAATTATTGTCCAGTTAGATTTTTATTTTTGGTTGAATTTATATAAAAAGTAAAAATTCAAATTGAGCAAAAATTTTGGAACAAAAAGAGTATAAGTTAATACAGCCTTTGAGGTTGTATGACTTGAATCTTTTGATGAAATAAAAGTAACAAATTAATTGATTGGATTAATGACTTCTTTTTTCTTAGTACCAAAACAGTAAGATGGTTTTAGTCTTTTGAAACGCCTCATAATTCATGTACTAAAAGAAAGTATATGTAACAAATTTTCTTGTACGAAAAGTGAAAGGGGAAGAATTTCTATTATGTTGTGTGGGGGTATATTTTATTATTTTGTAGGAGAATTATTGGGGTTTCCGATGCTTCCACCGTATACGGCAGCCACAGGGAAAAACATTCTCAAGGGAGTAAATTACGCTTCAGCTGCAGGAGGAATTCTTGATGAGACTGGACGAAACCTAGTAAGCTTAATTATTTATCATTCTTTCCTTTCAGTTTAATCACCGCTAATTTACTCTTCCGTTCCACAAAAATAATCTACATTGAATTTTAAATTTTATCTTATTTTTAGTACAAATTTAAAAACTCAATGTGAACTATTTTTTGGGGACGAAGAATATTTTTCACCTTTATTCAAAAAAGAAATTACATAATTTTTTCTGATGCCAAAACTGACAAGTACGTTATGATTCAAAGAAAAATTAAATTTAAAATTTTCTTCTGGGTTTTGGTTGTTCCTTTTTTTTCTTTTTTTGTTTTTGAAATATACCGGAAAGGAGTGAACTTTACCAACTTAATTTATTCTTTCTTTTTCCCTTTTCCTTTTAATGAAAATTGCCTCCATTATGGTTCGTACTAAAATTCTCTATGTTACTTTAGTTGTGGTCCAAATCCCGCATGTTAGCTCTCTTTTTTTTGGAGCTCTTAATTACAGAATTGGACGAAAAAAAAAATTGGATCTAACTGTGAAATACGGAAATAAGTGAAATAACATATCAGTCGTTCTCTTTTCTTTTCTCTTTGTTACATTACTAAATCCAAAAATGGGAATTTTACTTTTTCAGTGATAAACACTTGTCTGCATTTGGTTATATATACCGTCTATTCAACAAAATTAGGATACGTATCAGTATCACGGTCAGATTAATTCTCACTATTGGTGATGTTTGAACAGGGGCAAAGATTCAGCTTAACAGACCAAGTTGCGAGCTTTAGAGACACCTTAAATCAAATCAAGGCTATGATGGGAGGGGAAGAAGAGCTGAACCATTATTTAGCCAATTCCTTAGTGGTAATGGTCCTTGGCAGTAATGACTACATTAACAACTATCTCCAACCTTCATTTTACACTAGCAGTTACATTTATAACCCACAACAGTATGCTGATCTTCTCATCAAGCTCTACACCAGGCAAATTTTGGTAAGAATTTCGTAAATTGGACTTGCATATATTTACTTTTTTTTTTTTTTCTGGGGGTGGAAAGATCCCTCTTCTGTTTGAAAGCTAACAAGTATAATTTTAGCATTTCAATTTTTCACTATTAATTTTACGGATCATTTTCTAATGAATAACGGGTGATTTTGGAGTTTTGGTTAATAATAGGATGAGATTAAGATAATTTGGTGATGTGGTTTTATATGAATTTTTCCATGTAATCTAAGAAAGACATGTATGCATGGCTGCACTGTTCTTGTAATAAATTAACATCTCCATGAACCAAATAGACACATCATTTACTGATCACGTGCCTCTGATTTCGAAAAAGGAATTTAACTAATAAATTAGTATAAATGTATCATTTGATTAGTGTTAGTTAAACACGATTTACCCTAACAATTGGTTAACTATGTTACAATTTGTATTTTTATTTTTAGTCCAAATTGAATAATCAATTCAGGAGGAATTAAAAGAGTATATGTTTTCCCAATACGTGTATTATTTTATCTTGTCCATATATTGATGAAATGTAGTTATTTACGTAGGAATTCGGATTCATATGTAAGTTCAAGTCAAACACAAAATGCATCCCTTTTGAAGATCTAAAAATAGTAACAGTACGTGTCCATAAATTATTTTACAGGAACTTCATAGCTTTGGATTAAAGAAGTTTGTGTTGGGTGGAATTGGACCATTGGGATGCATCCCAAATCAACTAGCTACTGGTCTTGTTCAACCTGGAAAGTGTTTCTCATTTGCAAATGATATTGTCGGAATGTTCAACATGAGGCTAAGATCCCTAGTTGATCAGTTCAACAGAGACTACAATGGATCTATCTTTGTCTATGGCAACAGTTTTGGTGCTGTCATGGATGTAATCACAAATGCCACTAAATATGGTAAGACCTTATATAGCTCACTTTTTCACGTGCAATCTTATCAAATCCACATCTATTCAATTCTCCTTTTCAATTAGAGACCGTAAAATTACTATTTAGTGAAATTATTCAGTAACACGTATACATGATAATTATACTTACATTTTTTGCGTTTTTTTTTTAACGCTAGGAATAACAGTGACAGACAGAGCTTGTTGTGGAATAGGGAGAAATGAAGGGCAGATCACTTGCCTGCCTCTATCTGTTCCTTGTGCCAACAGGAACCAGTACGTCTTTTGGGATGCTTTCCATCCAACACAAATTGTGAACCAAATTCTAGCAACGAGAGCTTACTCCGGAACACCTTCTGATTGCTATCCTATTAACATCCAGCAAATGGCTAAACTATAAAATCTCCATTTCCTAATAAATATAATCATATCATATATTAGTTCCTTCTTATTTTATCTCTAGGATATGTAGTGTGGAAGGGGTCATTAATACCAAACAAATCATATATTGTTCTGTGCTGATTTGAAAACAAATGTGATTTTTATGTTTTATTTTTTATTTTTTGTGAGGCTGAAAATCTTTACTAAGATTGTTATTTGTTACTTAAGAATTCCTTTTTAAATTGTTGTGTAACTATATTTCCACATGAAAAAAAAAAAAACTATATTATGTTCAACATGGAAAGGTGATGATCAAACTAAAAAAATACATTGGAGATCATGGAAGAAGATAACAAAATGACAGTTCTATGGTGGTTTAGGCCTCAAAGTTACTGCTGAGTTTAATCAATCTCTCTTAGCCAAGTATGCATGGAAAATCTTGTCTCAACCAGACTCTCTTCTGTCCAGGATTTATAGAGCCAAGTATTCATACAAGATAACTTTCCATAGCAAGCCCCTCCCGATAATGCAACATGGAGATATAAAAGTGAACTCTGGGGAGCAAGACTTCTCCAAAATAACGTGAAATGGAAGGTTATCTCAGGCAAAGATATACCCATAGCCAGTGATTGGATTCCAGGACATTATAATCCAATCCATGGTAACTCTTTCTTGGCTCAACAGTCCAATCTTGTGGTGAGTGATCTACTGTGTCCTGATGGCCAATGGAAACTTCGCTTTTTACGCACCATTTTCTTTGATCAATACATTCCCTATATCATTAGCATTTATGTGGATCCTACCAGGAGTTCACAGAATGATAAACTCCTATAGAAACAAACAGATCATGGTTCCTATTCAGTGCAATCTGGTTATCATGAAGCATTGAATTGTGTATCACAACAATCTACCCCTGCACCACCGAACTAACAAATTGCACAGTCTGAAACACTGGCGTGGAAAAAGCTATAGAATACAAAAGTGCAACCAAAGTACAAATTTCTCTTTTGGCGGGCGGCATTAAATGCCTTACCCTCAAAACAAAGCCTGTCTAGGCGTGGCGTCTCAGTTAATACCACCTGTCCAAGATGTTTTACAGGTTTTGAAGATAATCTTCATCTCTTCTTTAATTGTCCGATTTCTCAAGCCACCTGGAGTTTTGCATACACTAAATTCTAGTCCATCCTGGATGGTTCCATAACCTCCCTCTTTGAATGGTTTTGCAACTGGATACAATCAAATTTTTCCTCAGAAGATTTGGACTTATTCCTACTCATATTCTGGCGTATCTGGATTGAAAGAAATGACAAAGTATGGAGAAATCAAGCAGTTGATCCTGTCAACTCATGGAGATTGATTCAACAAAATCTAAAACAGCACAACCTCCCGCTACATAAAGTAAGAACACAGGCTTCTACTTCAATCGCTGCTATACAGCACACGGACATTTCAGAGAATTGTTCTGAATTATCTTTAATGCTTCATTCAATCAACATACGTAACAACGCTGCGGGCGCCTGGAAAATCACTTCACACACGAATGCTTATGCAAATCAAGTCTGTCTCCCTAAATGTATTATCGCCACTTCAAGCAGAAGCAATGACATGTCTCAATGCATTACAGGATGCCTCAACTCAGATCAACCAATTTCTTTGTTTCCTACGGAGGCACATGAGGTAATTACAAATATTCGTAGGTAAAAGGCACGTTTTCATAACTCTGTCTGATTAAAGTCAGCAGACATGAAGTAAGGGATGTACACAATTTAGCCTACGCTAAAATGCGATGTAATAGCATAGGTACTTACTAATAATACAGGTACTTTTTCAAAAAAAAAAAAACGAGGAGTATTTACTGATTACATACTCTGTCCTACTTAACGATCATTTCTAGATAAAGATTATTTACGGGTAAAAAGGAAGAAAATATTCTAAAAATATACTCCCTTTTTCTTAAAACTATTGTTCAATTTGAATTTTCAATTTTAGTGCAAAATGAATTAAAAGTAAAAATTCAAACTTGATAAATAATTTTAGGATTGACGGAATATCACATTGTGTAGTAAAAAAGCGGAGAAAATTACAATTTTACCAAGAATATTACCAACAAAACTAGATGGACATGATGTATTTGGTACTTAGTACGTTGCTACACTAGAGAGAGGATACACTAACACTTAACACAGAATAACTCTTTTATGAAATGGGTCGTTTATCAGTCTACTTGCCGATCAATGGGAATATCGTTTATATTTCAAAGGGCTAATATGACCGAACCTGGGGCAAAACGTAATCCACCTTTTAATTTGATCGAAAAAATAAATTATTTTTTTCTTTTTGTAATATTTGTAGGTGTGCAAGCTTTCGTTAAAATAAAATAAAATAATTTCATATCACATTTAATCTCCCAAAATTCAAACAAATTTTGTTATTGCCAGGTTAAAAAAGGCCCAAAGATGACATAGCCCATTGACACTGGGCCCAAACAGAAAAACCCTAGACTTCGTCGCCACTGGTATAAGCAGCTCCGGGATTCTAATCGTAAAGATTTCCACTTTCCTCAGTTGGCTTAATTCACAGAGTTTGCAGAAATCTCTCTGGATCTTCCTTCCGCACCCGACCAAAATGGTAAAATTTTGATCCCTTTTACTGTATTATTTGGCAGATTTCTTTGGCTTTTTTTGGTTCTTGTCCTTCTGGGTGGAAAATCGTAAGAGCAGTGGTTATTAATCCATCAAGTGAGCTTCAAATTTGTTGATGTTGTTATTGTTTTTGTTTTTTCCGCACTTTATTTACATTTTTGGTTGTTGGTCTCACAAATTTTGATGCTAATGAGTGGCCTTAGTCAGTCTTTCTATTGCATTTTTATATTTGGATTTTATTGTTTTTTTTTCCCTTTTTTTTCTGTTCAAATTGGGGTTTTCCTGTAGAGTTCAGCTTACGATGAAGTCTTGTTTCTTGTGGTCGAATTGCATGTAATAGGCTATTCATACGTCGAGAGTTTCTCCAATTTATGTTTGGGCAAGGATTAGATTTCATTGGCAGCTGTAAGGCAGTAATTGGAATATAAAGTGTCTATAATCAAATCAACCTGGAAATTTTAATCGGTAGGTTAGGGTAATAAGATACAAGGGATCAAGTGGAATTTAGAAATGGGATTTGTTCTTGATGCCAAGGGTTAAATGTGATGATAGGTTGGTTAGAGACAGGGAAAAAGCTATTGTTTTAGTGTTTAGAATTTGAAATTGTACGATGGATTTTGTTCCTTATCTTTTTATGTATCTCTACATTCCAGAGCTGCTTGGCATTATGTTTTAAAATGATCTGGTGATATCTGTTAAGTTGCTTCGTACAATTTCATTATTTATGCTGTAATCGGTTAGGTATTGTTGGTGCTGTTGGTATTGCATTTTTATGATTGGCAGGTTTCATATTCTTCGCTCTTGCAGGTGAACGTTCCGAAGACAAAAAAGACTTATTGCAAGTCCAAGGAGTGCAAGAAGCACACCTTGCATAAGGTCACTCAGTACAAGAAGGGCAAAGATAGTCTTGCTGCTCAGGGAAAGCGTCGTTATGATCGCAAGCAGTCAGGTTATGGTGGACAGACAAAGCCTGTTTTCCACAAAAAGGTAAAATGCGGCAGCTACACCATTGTTTATGTTGAGGATAATTAAAAAGGTTGGAGTGTTGCCAAGAAGTGCATAGTCATGGGGGATACCATAAATCATGAATATTACGCTTGACGTATGCATCTGTATTTGTCGTTTTTATGAAACTCATTGATGTCATGGTTAATTACTTTGCTTATTTATGGGTCTTACCAGGCCAAAACCACAAAGAAGATTGTGTTGAGGTTGCAATGTCAAGGCTGCAAACATGTCTCACAGCACCCTATCAAGGTTAGTTTCTTTCTTACCTCTCTTTCTGTGAACAATTGAATATGTTTCTTTATCTGGATATACCCTATCATTTACATTAATTGTGTTTCTGCAGAGATGCAAGCATTTTGAGATTGGTGGAGATAAGAAGGGGAAGGGAACCTCTCTTTTCTAAGTAGCTTGGCAAGGAAGATCGAGTTTCTTTGTGTTGTTTATCTGTCATCGGGTTTTGTTTCTATAACTTTGTTAGAGAGTGTTTTATCATACATGTCCTGGGAATATATGTCCACCAGAGTTCTCGACTGTCTATGTAGAATGTTTTAAATCTAAAAGCCTTATTAAGTTTAGTTTTATTCTATATTATTTTCGGTTCAACCACTTATGTGATCAGCAGAGGTACAAACTCCATGAAGCGTGTTTTTTGTGTGTGCCCTGCGAGAGAGCGGAAGAATTGAGTGCGGACAGTGTTGTATACAATGTTTTGTTTTACAATGTAGACAAATAAAGCAACAATGAAAGGGCTGAAAATTTTCTATGGTAAAACACTGTGATTTAAAGAAATGCAACAAATGATTCATGCTCTCATGGAAGAAAATTCCATTTGTAAAGAGGAAATGCAGCAAGCTACAGACTAAATAATGTCACGTCTGACAAGTATAGCAGCAAATTCAAAAACATTGAAGCATCAGATGAAAGGATCTTCTTTGTGCATGTCGGATTACAAAGGAAAGTCGTCCAGTATGCATCATTTTCGACTTTCTGATAAGAGATTTCTGTTAGACATCATCTCCAGTATCGATTCTCTTTGAAGAACACGTACTTGAACGAATTACCCGCATGAATGACCTGTGTCATTTTTCATTAGTCAACTGGTTCTTTAAGTTATGAGTATCCAGTATTTTGATGATTCATGTATTTATATCACTAATTACGCATTACATGATGCTCTTTACATGTCCGCTTTGTCACACCGGTGACACCATGAATTCAACAAATCGCGGGGCTTCTGCTGTTAAAGGAGAGTTACTTGTAGAATTAAGCCATATTAAATGTGGAACGGAGCGAGCAATTGTTTGCTGATCCTCCGGGTCCGCTGTCTTCCTCTTGAGTTTTACCTTTGTGTTTCTGCTTTTCCAAGCCAGATTCAATATGTTCTAGTTTCTTCAAGACTTCACTGATGGATGGCCTAGCTCGAGGATCAGGCACAGTACATAGGAGAGCAAGTGCAACTAATTCCGCGGCAGTTTTCACATTGTATCTCTCCTCAAACCTGGAATCCATGATGCTCTCTACATGTCCGGTTTTTGACAGCCGGGACACGATGAATTCAACAAAACGTGGAGCTCCTGATCCCTTAATATAATAGCCTTTTGCGGACAAGCCTGTTAAAACTTCAAACAAAACAATACCAAAAGCCTCTACATCGCCTTCCTTTGACATGAACCCTGTTAAAGGAGAGTTGGTTGTTAGAGTTTAAGCCATATTATCTGTTGGAAGGCAACCAAACACTGTTGCATCTCTAAGTATCATTAGCCATATCATCTTTGAGCTTCAGCTTTGGTTCAGTATCATTAGAAACAGCTACCCCTGGATCGAAGAAAAGTATATCAAGTTATTAGTCCATCCAGGTTACCTTTTTTTTCTGTGTGTATTGAGATACTGAGGAGGAATGTTGTTACAGCAATGCTGATGTATATCATCCGAGGCAGTTGGGCGACTTGCTTTGCGAAAACCTAATAGCTTCCCATTGTAATCCTGGACAAAACATTGCATCAAAGTTGTTACTAATGCAAGAACTCAGTATCAAGGTGAAATCTGTGTGCGGATCAAACTAGACCAGTATGCGAACATAGGGCAAGAACTCAAAGATATGCATTGCCAAAAATCTTTATGAAAAGTAATGTAAATTTACATAGTCGAGCAGTATATCTGAGGAATCAAACTTTTCATAGAAGCTTTGTCCATTAATAACATGCAAGATTTCCAGGCCCCGAGCTGCACCAATCATAATTTTTAGCCTTATTTCCAGGGACAGTGGCCGGGCATCAGAGCCTTCGAAAGGTATCCAAGTAACAAAAACTGAGTTATCTTTAGATAATCAACAGCTGATGGTGTCAAATCAGCAAAGTATAATTAAGAAAAAGAAAGCTCACTTTTAAAAAGGTGGTGCTCCAAGGTTCCATTTTGTGCAAATTCGTTAACAAGGAACAGCTCTTTTTCCCTTAAAAAGTATCCGAGGAACTTGAGGAGGTTAGGGTGAAGGAATCTTCCAAGTACGCTTGGCTGAGACTGCATAAGAAATGTACAAAACATTCTGGGAAAGTTTGGATCTAAAGCCACATACAAATATATGCAATTACACCATGTTTGGATAGCATATTTGGTGAAATTGTACTTCTATCCAAGAGTAGTTTCAGTTACCTGCCACAAGTATAATTCTTCCATATCTTCAGAATGATATTGCCTCACAGAAATTAGCATTTCATCACTATTATTTGATATATAAATCCTTTGCAACCGAGCTTTGTACACTCTCTCATTTACACCACTTTCTGCTATAGTTTGAACTGTAACATTTCTGGTGGCATCCATAAGTTCTGAGAAAGATTGGATAACTAACTTTAGCCTATTTTGGTAATCCTCCTTCATACCTACAAAACAGACAAACAGTTTGTTGAGCAGTCCGATATTTTCCTGGTTGTCATCAAGATAGGGTAGCCAAAAAAACACACCATAAATCAATGAGTCCATAAGTAAATTCGTGAGCAGAGCACGATGAGTGACACGACTAAAACGCTCCATCATTCCCAAAGTTTCAGGTCTTGCTGATTCAATAAGCTTCAATGCTGAAAGTATATCTGCCATTTGCAGTCGATCTCAATACAGGGGTGTTGGCATGAGACAGGCTTTGGCAATTAAAAAGACTCCCCATACCTCTGGCGAAAGATGCTCATGTATGACCAAGGATGGATCTGCTATGCTAAGCTCTAGTTGTGCATTGTTCTGATCAATGGAAGCCCACGCTATTGTATCAAACATGGTTTCACGACGAGTGGCAATGGTAGCACTCAAACCACACTTGCCCGAGAGTAGCTCAAGCAGAACCCTCGCAAAGCAATATGTATCGAAAGATATCATCTCATCTCCAAAGGATCCTTGCATTTTTAGATCAGTCAGAGACTATATAGTGTTATAAATATTCATGAAATCATGCAAACATTTTCAAAGGAACTTCAGCTGCTCCAACATTTGTCACATAACAATGGCGAGAACGGAAGCAGTAGAATTGTTAAACTAAATAGACTGATGAATCACAATGTGAAGCTCCTTAGCATAAAAATACAAAGCAAGAGCATGCATAAGAAAAAAAACCAATTACTGTGACTTATCAGGTGCTAACAGTTTGCAAATAAGCATTGATATTGGCAAGCAATGACTTTGAAACAAGGAAGATTAAGCAAAAGTTTGACATCTGATTTGCAGCTTAAAGTTAATTGGATACAAAGAAGAACGCATAAAAATGCAAAGCTACAATTTGCTCACCGGTATAATATGGTTCAAATTCCCTGCAAGTACAGAATTAAAAAACCATGGGAATCAGCTGTCATTCTTTAGAAGTAAATGAGGAAGCGAAGGTTTGATCATAATAAAAGCAGTGCATAAATTTGTAAGTGCAAATACTGACTTTGGCAACAGTGGAGGTTTAGACATTGCCAAGTGATCATGTTCGGTTTGACTACAGAGGTAAGATAGGCTTCCCAATCTCACTTCAAAATCATCATCCGGAACGCTAGCTTGAACATTTCTTCCCAAAAAAAATCAAGTCAAAACAAACAACATTAGGTTGATATCTAAAACTGCTCAGACATTGATTTGCTGCTAATGATGAGAATCATGTAGTCTTCCATGGAGGTTCTCCTAGTGAGAGGAATGAGCTAATCCTTCATTCTAGTTTTGGAATGCCAAGTTTACTTTGTAGGCCAATCAAGAAAGAAAGGATGGATCTTGACTACCTATGTGATAGGGGAGTTCGTTCAAGAGAGCTATGATCAAGGTGATGAGAATGTCATTAACTTTGGGGTTCAAACCAAAGGAGATGAAGACCTTATGGAAATAAGTGCTGAAGAGTATCAAGAGAGTTTGACTCTGTGTGCTCCATGAAGATCGTTGATCAAGCTAGTGAGAAGAGTCATTTAGGTTCTTGAATGGACGGCCTATTTGATCAAAGTGTTCAAGATTGAGTCCATTGCTACACAATTGGATAGGTTGCAAACTATCTTAATGGTTTCAAGTGTTTTTCCAATCTTTTGGAGTCAATAAAGAGAATTCTACAAGTTTTGGAGTAAATTGGAGTTTTCTACAACTTAAGGGGCGCAAGATCAATATTCCACTTTTGGAAGGGCGTTCAAGACATTTTACTTCAACAATTTGGAGCTGAATTTCGAGATTAGAGTTAGTCTAAGTCCAGGAGTCAATTTTTGAATTTTTATCTAGTTAAATAAGTCATGTGGACTGAATTAAACTAGAGCGTTTTGATTAGGAGTCTTAGATTCCTTCTAGATATTATCCTACTTGAGGATAAGTCATTTAGATAAGGTTTTCTAGATTTTAGATAGAGTCAAAGAGATCAAGTACTCTTCTACTTTTACTCCTTGGGAGATAAGATTAGAGAGTCCTAATTGGTCTTCTTTTTAGAGGTGCTAGCCGAAAATTCTAAGCCTATAAATAGGAGGCTTGGCCGAATTTCTTAAGCACCCTTGAGTGGTCATTTTTGTTGTCTCTTTTGAGAGTTTTTCCTGTGAGGAATTTTTGTTAAATGGAATGTCCATTTTTCGTGTCAAGTATGATTAAACCAAGAAAGTTTTCATCTTGTCTTGGATCTTTTTGATCTTGCAGAAACCGTTCTTTTTCAAGTATGCTTCTTGATAGAATTATTTTAAAACAAAACTTCTTATTTTCATACTACTTCTAGTAGTTCGATTGATGAGCCTTTCTTTTGGCTTGGTGTTCGAATTTCATGATGAGTGTGTTCATGAGATCCATTGTGGGGTTTGTCCTACTTTTGTTGGATGAGTTGTGCTTTGGCATAAGCATTTTGAGATAGTGCATGTGTTGCATATCTTTGGTTGGTTATGAAGATTACTAATCAATAGTATTCCTTCATAGTTGGGCATTGTTTGCTCCTGCCTTTCTTGAGTCTCTTGATAGATGACTGATCGACTATATTGAATGGTGTCCTTGCTATTCTTAGCGTGGGTTGTTGTTTAATTCGAATCTTTCATGGATAATGTGTTCTTTGCTTGGTTTGAGTTAAGAGATAGAATCACTTAGATAAACGATCGTCTTACTGTGAATTTTCCGCACTCTTTTGAGTTTTACGGGATAGACAAAATTATCTTCGTACTTTCTTGTTGATGGTTGCATTAACAAAATTTGCTTCGTCTACGAGATTGCTATCAGTTTCTTGGTATCAGAGCTTGGATTATCTTAGTGATGGTATTAATTGATATTATCATATCAGTTTCTATTATCAGTTTGATTTTTGAGAGATTTCTTCTTAGTTGAGGACTACATAGTTCTTGGTTTTGAGAATATCTTGAATTACCACGGAATCCGTAACTTGGTGTGGTAATCGAGCTTTGTGCTACTTAACGAGTAGTACTATCTTTATTTGTTTCAAGGTTCCTTCTTGTTTTGGAATGGGGTGTTGAAAAAAATAAATCAAATTCTTGTGAAAACTACGTTTTCAAAATTGATCTTGTCTTTTGTGTGGTTGTGCGTGACTTCTTACACATTTGTTTGATCTTGTGGTGTTATTTTGAGGTCTATGCGAGAACTTGATGATGGTACGTTGGTATCTAATCAAAGTGGGCGCTACATCTTGAAATTTATCCTTGATTTGCAAGTAGAGAACTGTTTCTCCTATAAACAAGTTGGTGGATCTTATGTGTTGGATCTTTAAGGAGAGAATTGATGCCAAAGAAGAGCTTCTTGCTCAAGATAGCCTTTTCTTTCTAAAGAGATGTCTTTACATAAGGAGGATTTGAGAGTTTATCTTGTGGTAAATATCTCGGATCTATTCTTTGAAAGGTGAAGCTTAGTGATTTTGTACTTTCTACATAAAGTATAAATGAAAAAGCCTTCCTTCTTGTTGGTTTCATTTGAATCTAATGAGTAAAATGGAATTTATGGATTTTCAATTCATGAAAATTTCATAGAGACCGAATTTTGTTGATTATCTTGTTTAATCTTAGTGTCAAAAGATTTTTCAAAAGTAACAAATGTTGGTTTTCTTGTTTTCTCGAGTTTTACACTTTGAGATTGAGTCGAATTAGTGGATTCTTCCTATCATTGGATTTTTATTGGTTCTTAACTTGAGTCAAAACTTTCTTTGTCATGTGATGAGGAATGAATTTTTTTTTTTAGTGATATCATTTTTTGGTCTCAAAGTGTTTTAAGGTCTTTGAAGTTGAATTGTGCCAACTTTAAGGATTGAAGTCTTACTTGTGTTTAAAACCTTGATTTTCGAGAGTAGGATCGAAAATTGAGTGAAGTTTTACTAAAAAGATTTTCTTAATTTATGACAAGAAATCTTATAGGCTTTGAGATATATTCTTAAAGTTTACATATTTGGTTGTTGGAAAAGTTGATTTTCAATGGTCACTTATGAAGATGGCATTGTTAAGTCATTGAGTTTTCAGAATGATTTGTGTTAAATTTAGTATTATGAAGAAATGTCATAATTGAATGAGGAACTTTAATTTCCTACTTCATTATAATTATGGTGTTCTTGTTACTTTATTTGCCATGGATTGTTTTGGTAAAAAGTGATTTTTTTTAATTCCAAGTACAATTTGGAAAAGGGTTTTTAGAAAGATTCTAAAAGTTGTTGTCCATTTTTGGAAAGTGGTAATTTTCAAGTTTCCTTTTAAAGTGAGTCAAAAGTAATTTTTCAAATTTTAACTATGTGGTAAAAGGTTAATAGCCGAATTTTTTGCTGACTTTTTGCATGTGTGTGCGTGTGATTTATGTCGTATTGTAAGCATAGTTGGTTTTGAATTTTAGAGTCTTAGTATAGCCGAAATTGTGAATCTAAAAATTTGGGTTTCCTAGTCCTAGTTGAACTTGAAATTTGGTTGTCTATTTGTCTTACACTTAGGGACCTATTTGGTCTTGTATTTGTGTGTTCACATGGCCGAAAATTTTAGCCCTAAAATTAAGGTCATTGAGTCCAAATTGTGTTATGATTTGAGTCCTTTCGGTTTTGGATTTTTGTGTTTACATTGGCCGAAAATTTGCAGCCATTGTTTCCTAATTGTAATACAATTTTATCGTGTGTTTTATTTAAGTCCTACTTGGATTTAAATACTAATTTTTACATGTGTTAAATTATAATTTCAGTGAGATTATAATTAGAGTTTTAAAGTGAGTCTATTTTCGAAAACTATTAGGATAAGGAAGTCTTATCCTAATCTGAAAATTTTTGAGTCTTCTAATACAATTGTGCATGTGTGTGGCCATGTATTTGAGTCCTTTTAGTAGTAGGAGGGTCGAAAATTTTATCTCTAATAAGTAGGGATGAGTTTTCCTAATTTGTGTCCAAAAAGTATTATGTTTACCTAAGTTTTAGGACTCTATCCTTGTCTATATATATGAGGCCGGTTTTTCTTCTTCTTTATTCTACATTGTCGAGCAGCCTTCATCATTAAAAGGAGGGGGAATATTTTTTAGAAAATTTAGGTCCTATCTAGTAGGAGTTTTCTTGCACAAAAAGACTTTCAATGTCTATAACTAGGGGTGCTGTTTTTCGAAAATTCTCACATCACTCTACTCCAATCTTCTTCTTCTTTCTTGCTGCCGAGATCAAAAGAGAAAAGAACAAGAGAAGCACTCTTCTCTTTAATTCTGAAATTTTGAGAGTTGTGTTCTTAAAAGCACAAGAGAGTTTTTGTTTTTGGGGAGAGCTTTATTCGAACCTTCCTTTGGTTCTTCGGGGGGGTTTCGGCCGAACCAAACTTTGGTTCTAGGGTTCAAGGAGTTTTTGTGTAGTAAACAAGGCACATTACTTCTTTTGTTGGTGATTTCTCAGCGTTGTTGAGCAAAGATGTCATCCGAAGTTGCTGCTTGTACTCAAGTCGCTTCAAAGAGTGTAGAGGGTCGCA